GAACTTGGGTAATTTCCCTACCCCATGGCAATGTTCTCTGTATCTGCCCCTTCCTCTCTCTCCTCTGTCCTGGTCACCAGTTTGTCTTCAGTACCTAGCATGGGCCTAGCACATGGTAGAGGCAAAATTAATATTTGTTGAAGGAATATCATTGTTTAAAAAAGTTTAGGCCAGGTGTGGCGGCTCACACCTGTAATCCCAGCACTTTGGGAGGCTGAGTCGGGTGGATCACAAGGTCAGGAATTTGAGACCAGCCTGGCCAAAATAGTGAAACTGTGTCTCTACTAAAAATACAAAAATTAGCCAGGCATGGTAGTTCATGCCTGTAATCCCAACTACTTAGGAGGCTGAGGCAGGGAATTGCTTGAACCCAGGAGGCGGAGGTTGCAGTGAGCCGAGATCATGCCACTGCACTCCAGGTTGGGCAACAGTGAGGCTTCATCTAAAAAAAAAAAGTTGATATTTCTGAGGAAGCGAAAAGATGCATCTTACTTTTAACAATATGTGTTGTTATTTAGTCCAAGTACAAAAACCCTCTAAACACCAAAAAGAAACATTTAAAAAATCAGATTGTAATTCACCACCTAGAAAGAACTCTGAGTATAGTGCACTTCCTCACAATCTTTATTATAATGCTCTGTGTCAGTTATCTATGGCTGCAAATTAAGCCAATCTGAAACTTAGCAGTATCAAAAAACCACTATTCTTTCTCCTGGCTCTGCAGGTCCACTGGGCTCAGCAGCACAGTTCTTCTGCTTATCTTTCTTGGGGCTTTCAGGTGGTTGCAGTGAGATTGAGGCAGAGGTGGAGTCATAGGGGCTTGACTCAGGTGTGAGGACAGCAGGGCCTTTGTCCCTTGCCCTGTGATCTCTCCTTGAGGTCTCCACAGCAGGGTAGCCAAATGTAGAAGCTGCCAGGCCTTCTTACACTTAGGCCCCAAACTGGCTGAATTCTGTTGGCTAAAGTGAGTCATAGGCCAGCCCTTTCTTACACAGCTCTTTCCTGCAGACCCTTCTAACCTTTATCCTTCAGGCCTTTTACAATATTTCCTACATCACTGCCTCTTTGAGGATCCTCAGTCATTTCCAAAGTGGGGCTTTCAAGGTAATCCACTGGGGTATAGGAAAAAATGTAGTATTAGGATTTTCATTTCTGTGCTTTTAAAATCGTGATTAAAAAACACATAATATAAAATTTAAAACAACCATTTTAAAGTATATAGTTCAATAGTGTTAAGTGTGTTCACATTGTTAGGCAACCGATCTCTAGAACCTTTTGTCTTGCAAAACCAAGATGTACCCATTGGATAATGCCTCCCCATTTCCTCCTCTTTCTAGCCCCTGGTAACTACTATTTTACTTTCTGTTTCTATGAATTTGACTATTTTAGATATCTCATGTAAGTGGAGCCATACAGTGTATGTATTTTTGTGACTGGCTTATTTCATTTAGCATCATATCCTCAAGGTTGTGGCATGTGACAGGATTTCCTTCTTTTTCTTATTACCTATTTTTTCGAGATGGAGTCTCACTCTGTTGCCCAAGCTGGAGTGCAGTGGTGTGATCTTGGCTCACTGTAACCTCCCCTTTCGGGGTTCAAGCAATTTTCCTGCCTCAGCCTCCTGAGTAGTTGGGATTACAGGCATGTGACACCATGCCCAGCTAATTTTTGTAATTTTAATAGAGATGGGGTTTTGCCATGTTGGCCAGGCTGGTCTCAAACTCCTGACCTCAAGTGATCCACCTGCCTTGACCTCCCTAAGTGCTGGAATTACAGGTGTGAGCCACCGCGCTCTGCCGGTTCCTTCTTTTTAAAAACTGAATAATGTTTTATTGCATGTATTTACCACATTTTCTGTATCAATTTATCTTTTGATAGACACTTGGGTTCTTTCCACCTCTTGGCTATTGTGAATAATGTTGAAGTGAACAAGGTGTGCAAATATCTCTCTGAGATCCTGATTTCAGTTCTTTTTAGTATATACCCAGAAGTGGAGTTGCTGGATCAGAACCTACTTCTGGGTTTAATTTTTTGAGGAGCCGCCATACTGTTTTCCATAATGGCGGCTCCATCTTACATTTCTACCAGCAGTGCTCAAGGACTCTGATTTATCCACATCCTCACCAACATTTGTTCTTCTCTGGCTTTTGATAGTGGGCATCCTAATGGGTGTGAATTTCTATAGTTTTAGTCTATAAAAAGTAAGAAAGAAGTTACCCTTTGCCAGCATGTCATGGCTGGACTGACATTGACACTATACCTTGCGTTGTTTGTCCTTAGGTCCCCAGAAAGGCATGGCTTCCTGAGGGAAGAGGAGCTTTGCACCCTTGGGGAAAGGGGTGCTGTGGTGATAGACAGGTCCTCCCTCTTTGATTCACTTTTAATGTATTACAAAGTGTTTCAGCCCAGCTAATGGGTTTCAGGGTTAGATTATCCTGTTTTAACTAAACGAATCCTCAGATTATGACCAAGGAATCTTCATAAAAACGATATGCAAAAAAAAAAAAAAAACGCAGATAGAAGAAAACGTTAAGAATGCAAATCTGAGCAAACCATGAGAAAACGGCTGAGTGGCACTTCTCCTACACCTCATAGGAGCTCTTTGTCAGCCCATTTCAATATAAAAACAATGGTAAGCTGAGAAGTTGGCCGAAAAGGAAGGACTAAGAAAACTACTTAAAAAATATATTTATATCCATTTATTAACAAGAAGCCCACTTGAAGTGCGTATTGTGCCTTGAGACATCAAGACATGAGCTAATGGCAGTGTGCATGCATGCACACTTATGCATGCTAGAATTTGTTTTATATTTTCTTTTTTAACGTTTATTTTTATTTTTTTGAGACGAAGTCTTGCTCTGTCGCCAGGCTAGAGTGCAGTGGCACAATCTCGGCTCATTGCAAACTCTGTCCCCCGAGTTCAAGCGATTCTCCTGCCTCAACCTCCTGAGTAGCTGGCACTATAGGCGCATGCCCACACACTCAGCTAGTTTTTGTATTTAGGAGAGACGGGGTGTCACCTTGTTGGCCAGAATGGTCTCCATCTCTTGATGTTGTGATCTGCCTGCCTTGGCCTCCCAGAGTGTTGGGATTACGGGCATGAGCCACTGTGCCTGGCCAGTTTTTTTAATTAGTAGGGCAAGTGATCAAAAATATCTGGAGACAACCACTCCAGAAAGAGGATTGGGAATTACGGCATTGCTGTCTTTCCTTCCTGGATTTCTCAGGGAAGATGACCTGTAATTTAGAAGAATAACCTAAAGGGTACCAGGAGTGGTCTGGGACAAGTGTCATATCTGGAGGATGGAATTTGGCATTGCTAAGGAAAAGAGTGATCTTTAACCAGCATTCCAGGACTCCTCTGGGGTGCACGCAGGGGCCTCAAACCTCCTATCTGCAATCTTTGGACAAGCCAGATAGCCTGGCTTGGCCATCATCTGTCTGAGGAAGCATTCTCCCGAGTGCCCCGAAATGCCAGGAAAGTGATCAGGAAAAACTGAGGCACTAATTGAAAACCATCTTGATGAGAAGCACAGCTCCTGGTGGCAGGAAAGGGCTGGGCCTTTTGGAGATGGTGTTACCTTCCTAACTTGACCTTTACTAACAGTGAAATGCACAGCTCTGAGCTGTAACGCTGATTGTTTTCTTCCTTGCAAACTGTTGGCTGTTTGGGCAGGAGGGTGCTGCCTGACTCTGGGGCTCCACAGCCCTTCACCTCCCTGTTCTGTCTCTCTCTCCGAATCTCTCTCTCTCTCAATCCGTGTGTGTGTGTGTGTGTGTGTGTGTGTGTGTGTGTGTGTGTGTGTGTGTGTGTGTGTGTGTGTGTGTGTGTGTGTGTGTATCTCACCTAAACCTATAGCTTTTGCTGCCCCAGACACGGCAGTGTCTTCCCAGAAGCCTATGTGCTCTAGACATACAGTAGCCAAGGGTCCAGCCCCCTTGGGCACTTCAAACTCAGCAGGACCCAAATCACTGCCATGATATCCCCAGCCCAGCTCCACCTCCTCCTATATCCCTTTAGGAGACAGCTCTGGCTCACTAGCTCCTTGAGTAATTTTTTTTTTTTTTTTTTTTTTTTGAGATGGAGTCTCGCTCTCACACAGGCTGGAGTACAATGGGGTGATCTCAGCTTACTGCAACCTCCACCTCCCGGGTTCAAGTGATTCTCCTGCCTCAGACTCCCAAGTAGCTGGGACTACAGGTGCCCACCACCATGCCTGGCTAATTTTTTGTATTTTTAGTAGAGATGGGGTTTCACCATGTTAGCTAGGATGGTCTCGATCTCCTGACCTCTTGATCTGCCTACCTGGACCTCCCAAATGCTGGGATTACAGGCTTAAGCCTCCGTCCCAACCAAGTATAACCTTTCTATGGCCACCTATTTTCCTAAGAATAAAGTTCACCCTGAGTCAGGCACTCAGTCTGGCTTCCACAGACCACTCCAGTTCCTGTTCCCAGCCATCCCTGGTGCATAGTGCTCCCTGGCATACCATGGTGGAGGTGGTGGCTTCCTTGTCAAAATACCTGGGGATGCTGTTAGAGTCCAGGGGTGCAAAATGTCCTGTCCTGAGACAGGCAAGACACAGGGAGGAAGCCTTCAGCCTTGCAAGGAGCACCAGGTCACGCCGCGTTCCCCAAAGGCCTCAGGTTCTGAGGGTCTCTTCTGCCCTTGCAGTTTCCCCCGCCTGCCATGCCCTTCCCCAGCATCTCCACCTGGCTCACTCCTACCTGTCCACAGACCTCGCCTGCATCCCCCTCGGCCAACACAGCTGTCAGACGCGCCTCTCTTGCACCCCCTCCTGGACATGTGCCTCTTTGTGCATTTGCATCTCGGATGGGAACCGTGGCTCTCTTCTTAGCCCCTTGCCACTTTGTGAGCTCCTTGAGGACAAAGGCCAGGCCAAGGAAGACCCCTGGAAGTGGACCCCAAGGGTTGAGATTTCAGGGACTCCTGGTGCCCCCCCATCAACCGAGGCAAGTCCACCTGCCGCTTTCTGCAGGAGTTCTCCAGGCTGGGCCTGGGGAATGACACGGAGGTGCAGCTGTGGGCTCTGGAGCTGCCTGTAGATGACAGGGAGGCTAAGCGGAGCGTCACCCGGATCTGGGAAGATCATCAACCACAAGTAAATGATGGCCGGAGGCAGCAGGGCCAGGGCTGGCGATGTGGTGGAGCTGGAGCCTGGCCTCAGGGGCCCAGTTCTAGGGTTGATGGCTGATGTGCATCAACAGGTCCCACCAGTCATGCGAGGTCACAGCTGATTGTGTAAAAATCAATCTGGGACTGTTTGTAAAAGTTTAGGCCAAAATATGGAGTAGGTGTTAGTAGGAAACCTGGAGAGGCCGGGTGTGGAGGCTCATGCCTGTAATCCTAGCACTTTGGGAGGCCACGGCAGGCGGATCACCAGGTCAAGAGTTCAAGACCAGCCTGACCAACATGGTGAAACCCCATCACTACTAAAAATATAAAAATGAGCCAGGCGTGGTGGTGTATGCCTGTAATCCTAGCTACTCGGGAGGCTGAGGCAGGAGAATCCCTTGAAACCGGGAGGCGGAGGTTGCAGTGAGAGCAGTGAGCCAAGATTGTGCCGCTGCACTCAGCCTTGGTGACAGAGTGAGACTCCGTCTCAAAAAAAAAAAAAAAAAAAAAAAAAAAAAACCTGGAGAGAAAGTAGGAGGAAATGAAATGGACGTATTAATCCTAGCCAGGACCCAAAAATAGTTTCCACCTAAGGAAGAAGCCCTTGGGTTGGGCCCCACCCATGCCCATGAGGGGCAGGTAGGTTGTGAAGGTCAACATGAGGCAAGGACCTCTGTGCTCAGGGAACAATCAGAAGGGTGGCCAACCTGGGGGAGGCCCATCCTCATAGCACCCAGCCCATTTTATCTAGATATAATTACTGTATTAAAAAACGGGGCCGGGTGCGGTCACTCACGCTTGTAATCCCAGCATTTTGGGAGGCCGAGGGAGGTGGATCACCTGAGGTCGGGAGTTTGAGACCAGCATGATCATTATGGTAAAACCCTGTCTCTACTAAAAATACAAAAAAATTAGCCGGGCATGGTGGTGGGCACCTGTAATTCCAGTTATTTAGGAGGCTGAGGCAGGAGAATCGCTTGAACCTGGGAGGTGGAGGTTGCAGTGAGCCGAGATCACGCCACTGCACTTTAGCCTAGGCAACAGAGTAAGACTCCATTTCAAAAACAAAAAAACACCAGTACAACCCTACCCCGCCACCAAAAAAAAGTCCCCAAACAAGGACCAGATGATGAGGTTAATAAAACATACAACATCAAGCCATTCAGACAGTACTCCAGATGTCTTGATAAAATACTTGGGCAGCTGTTTTTCAAAAAGGAAAAATAATCAGTTTGAATAAATTCTAACAAGATTTCATTGGACTGCTACTAACTTCCTTTATTAAAGTTTCATTTTAAAAATTATGCAGGAGGCAGGCATGGTGGCTCACGCCTGTAATCCCAGCACTTTGGGAGGCCAAGGCAGGCGGATCACTTGAGGTCAGGAGTTCAAGACCAGCCTGGCCAATATGGTGAAACCCTGTCCCTACTAAAAATACAAAAATGAGCTGGGTGTGGTGGTGCATGCCTGTAATCCCAGCTACTCAGGAGGCTGAGGCAGGAGAATCGCTTGAACCTGGGAGGCAGAGGTTGCAGTGAGCCAAGACTGCCACTGCACTCCAGCCTGGGTGACAGAGCTAGACTCTGTCTCACAAAAAAAAAAATAATAATAAAATTAAATACAGTAAGAAGATACAGGATTCCACCAAAATACAAAGCGCCTCCTGTGGTAGCCTCACCACTTAACAGCTTGCTTCTCCTCCCTCCAGCCCCCGCCCCCCCGCCACAAAAAGAGAATACATTACTCTGTAAGAATAGTTTGAAATAAAAAGTAATTTAATGTGCTGCAGCATGAGTTTTTATTCAGCTAAAAGAATCCAGCTGTTTTTCATTTCAGCCATATTAGTTAGGCGACCCTGGTGTGGGGGACCATGGGGCTTCTGGTGGATTTGGGGTTTGAGATGTTTGCATGGAGCTGCACTCTCTCCAGGAGTAGTCCTTCTGCACATCTGGTGAGCCGGGTGGGCCTCATTCTCCTGGGGTCTCTGCTGTCGCCTGTTCACACAGCTCGCCTTGCACATGGGCATGGACACCTCTGCCAAGGCGATCATTCTGGAACAGTCTAGCAAGAACTGAGGCTACTGGGACGCTGACATCCGGGGCTTCTGGCCCGAGGGCAGCGTGTGCCTACCTGGCGGCCCAGATGTTCTGGAGTCAGGGGTCTGCATGAAGGCGGTCTGCAAATGCGGAGCTGTGGAGGATGTAGAGGTCATCTTTTCCCCAGATGCGGGCAGCTATGCTCTGTGGGTGTTAGAACTCTGAGCAGGTAGGAGAGAAGCAGTGGCCTTCAGCGTTCCCCTGACCTCCAAGAAGCCATCCTGTACCGTCCAGCTGGCCACTTGGCTGTCCGGCGCCACCCCCAGTTTCCCTGTCTTTGCTGTGTATAGGTCAGCACAGTTGCTTGCACCTTGCCTGTGGTTTCATTTGTGAGACCTCCCTGTGGACACATGGTCTTTCGTGTGTTGATCTAGGAGAAGGCATAGGAAGGCAGACATCCAGAGCCACTAACATTTCCTGAATGTTTTCTCATTTTGATTTCTGGGGTGACTGAAGTTGTGAGTTAACTATGCCAATGCAGCCCCAGATAAAGATTGATTTACCTTTGTTTCTCCAGACTCTGATCCCCAGTGGGTGGTTTCCGCTTCCCCCGAGGAATGAATAAGTCACTCAATGAAGACATGAATGAGAGGGATTCATGGCCGGGCGCGGTGGCTCTTGCTTGTAATCCCAGCACTTTGGGAGGCCAAGGCGGGTGGGTCATGAGGTCAAGGGATCGAGGCCATCCTGGCCAACATGGTGAAACTCCGCATTTACTAAAATACAAAAAAAATTTGCTGGGCATGGTGGTGCGCGTCTGTAGTCCCAGCTACTTGGGAGGCTGAGGCAGGGAAATCACTTGAACCCAGGAGGCAGAGGTAGCAGTGAGCCGAGATTGCACCACTGCACTCCAGCTTGGCGACAGAGCAAGACTCCATCTCAGAAAAAAAAAAAAAAGATAGGGATTCACTGGAATGTAGGTGTCATGGGCTGGTTGGTGGAAATATGACCCCTTTCTGTCTTGGCCACTTGCTGGTCATGAGGCTAAGAGCCAGGCTCTCCCCAGCTCATCCCTGGCACCATGTTCTCTCTGAGGTGAAACAACACAGCCTAAGTCTCCCTTGGATGGCAGTCCTTCCTTCTCTGCTTTGTGGGTGTTGCATTGCCACTTCTGCTTATGTTTCACTGAGGTTAGAGGCTGGTCCAGGAATTAATGTGGCATTTCCTGTGGTTGTAGATTCGTCTGTGATTATACCTATTACCTCTTTCTGCATCATGGAAAGGGCTGCACGGCACTCGTTAATGTCCCTCCACTGTCACACAGGCTCCCAACCACTCTGCTGGGAAGAGCCTTGCAAGTCATCATCCAGGAAATGCTGGAGGAGTGTGGGAAAACCCAGGTGCAAAGCCTGGTTCAAAGAAAACTCAACCATGGTCGTTCCAGCTAAAGGGAACTGACCGGGGGATTGCTCCTTTAGAGAACATTAATTGTTTCGATCCTGAGTGTACTGTTCAACTGTGCATTGAGAAATTTTTTCAAAAATTGCTTGTCAGACAAAGGGGTAAAAACTCCGAATCAGCCCAACAAAATCATGAAGGGTTATTTTATTGTCGGGAGAAAGAACACTCTGGAAGGTAGACATTTCACAAGGAATAAACTAGCTTCAGTTATGGTTTTCATGACAATAAAATTAAATACGAGGCAGGGTGCGGTGGCTCACGCCTGTAATCCCAGCACTTTGGGAGGCTGAGGTGGGTGGATCACGAGGTCAAGAGATCGAGACTATCCTGGCCAACATGGTGAAACCCCGTCTCTACTAAAAATACAAAAATTAATTGAGTGTGGTGGTGCACACCTGTAGTCCCAGCTACTTGAGAGGCTGAGGCAGAAGAAACACTTGAACCTGGGAGGTGGAGGTTGCACTGAGCCCAGATCGTGCCACTGCACTCCAGCCTGGAGACAGAGTGAGACTCCACCTCAACAGCAACAAAAAAAGAAATCTGAGTCATCTGTTTTCTTCCAAAAATCTACACAGTGGGTCTGTGTGATCCTGCCCAGACTCTGGGGCTGCAGACCTGTTTTGCAGAGGCCTACGGAAGCACAGACACAGCCACTGCTCCAGGGCTGGCCTCCCAGCTTGTGTGACCTGGTCCTGGTACCCTCAGAGCCACTGCGGCACTATTGTTTGGTTTCTCTGTCTCCGTGTTTCCCACTTTTACCACTTACTCGTTTTAATAATGTTTGAGTGTACAGGTCAGTAGTATTCAGTACATGTACTTGTATAATCGTCACCACCATCCATCTCCAGAACTTTCTCCTCATCTCAAACTGAAACTCTGTACCTGTGAACTCCCTGTTCCTTCTTCCTCCCAGCCCCTGGCACCCACCATCCCACCTGCATCCCTATGAATCTGACTCTACCTCGTATGAGGGAATCATGCAGCACTGGTCCTTTTGCATCTGGCGTATTTCACTCCGCGTCATGTCCTCCAGGTTCATCTGTGTTGTAGCATGGGGCAGGACGGAATTCTGTTTAAGGCTGAATATTCCAGCATATGTAGCTACCACATTTTGTTTATTCATTCATCTGTAGATGAACGCTCAGGTTGCTTGCCTCTTTTGGTTGTTGCAAATCATGCTGCTACAATAGCTGGTGTGCAAACACGAGTTCAAGTCCTTGCTTTCAGGTAAATACCCAGAGGTGAATTCCTGGATTCAATGCTAATTCTCAATTTTTTAAGGAACTGCCATTTTGTTTTGCAAAGCAGCTGCACCATTTTATGTCCACACTGGCAGTATGTGGTCGTAAAGCACAGGTTAATATCTGGGCTTAGTCTCTCCATTGAATCTCAGCCAGGTGTGGTGGCTCACGCCTATAATCCCAGCACTTTGGGAGGCCAAGGTGGGCAGATCATGAGGTCAGGAGTTCGAGACCAGCTTGGCCAATATGGTGAAACCCTGTTTCTACTAAAAAACAACAACAACAACAATTAACGGGGTGTGGTGGTGTGCGCCTGTAGTCCCAGCTACTCGGGAGGCTGAGGCAGAAGAAATGCTTCAACCCAGGAGGTGGAGGTTGCAGTGAGCTAAGATTGCACCACTGCACTGCAGCCTGGGTGACAGAGCGATACTCTGTCTCAAGAAAGAAAAAACAAAAACAAGACAAAACAGAATCTCCTTTCTGTTTCATCTTTTGTTTTGCTTTTATGACATGGCACTGGGACTTGCACCAAGCTTCTCCCAGCAGGATTCTACCTGTTCAGTGTTTGCTAGGGCAGATTTCCATTGGGAGTTCCATTGGTAACATTGCCTTTTTTTTTTTTTTTTTGAGGAAGTGAGTGAAGACAGCTAAGCTCTGGGAAATTTCTTGTTATGTTGGTGTGCTTACAACTACCATTTTTCACTTGACTACATTTAAAAAATTCACTTAGCGTTCAGATTCATTCTCTGTTAAGAAAAGCATTTGCAGCTTCATAACAAAGGAACCAGGCCAGTTGCTGTGGCTCACGCCTGTAATCCCAGCACTTTGTGGGGGCTGAGGTGGGCTGATCACCTGAGGCCAGGAGTTGGAGACCAGCCTGGCCAACATGGTGAAAACGTGTCTCTACTAAACTTACCAAAAAATTAGCTGAGTGTGGTGGCAGGCGCCTATAATCCCAGCTACTCAGGAGGCCAAGGCAGGGGAATCACTTGAACCCAGGAGGTGGAGGCTGCAGTCAGCCGAGATTGCACCATTGCACTCCAGCCTGGGCAACAAGAGCAAAACCCTGTCTCAAAACAAACCAACCAAAAAACCAAAGGAACCAGTCAAGGTTGCCAGCACACTTTTTACATCTGGAGTAGCCTTTAGAGGACTCTCTTTGCAAGTACACTTGGATCATTTGCTAGAAAACCAATCAAAGCCCGAAGGTTGGCGGGGAGGGGGAGGTGGTGCTGGGTGGTATGCACAGATCTGGCTGTGTGTTGGGAATTTGATCTGCCTGTGCTGTGGGCAATTCTGTCCCAAGACACTGGCAAGCAAGAGGCCTCTGGGACTGGGCTCCGGTGTTATGTTTCAGACTGCTTGGCAGCATGCCAGAACATTTTTTAAATTTTTAGATATTATCCAGTTGGGAGGCCCAGAGCTCCCCCTTCATGAACTTCCCCATAATTTCCCTCTCTGTGGCCTCTGAAGTTCTCCAGGGAGAACCCCGGAAGGCTCCTTCACATCCTGGGCTGTGTACATTGCCCAGCATCTCTTGTCAGTGTGCACAGAGCCTGCTTAGTTCTGGCAGTGCTGAAGTCAGTTTGAGAACCACAGCAGAAAAGGCTGAGTCCTGGGTTGGTGTTTTTTTTTTTTTTTTTTTTTTTAGACGTAGTCTTGCTCTGTCACCAGCCTAGAGTGCAGTGGTGCGATCTTGGCTCACTGCAACCTCTGCCTCCTGGGTTCAAGCGATTCTCTTGCCTCAGCCTCCTGAGTAGCTGGGACTATAGGCACACACCACCACACCTGGCTAATTTTTTGTATTTAGTAGAGATGGTGTCTTACCATGTTGGCCAGGATGGTCTCGGTCTCCTGACTTTGTGATCCATCTGCCTTGGCTTCCCAAAGTGCTGGGATTAAGGGCATGAGCCACCACACCCAGCCGAGAATCCCTTTCAGAAAGGCCTTTTGCTTTTAGGTGCCAACACTTCTGAGGCTTGACAGGTTTGAGTTAACCGTGGCCTTTGGTTTACTTCTCCTACCTACACATTGCTATGTGGCTCTTCTTCTTCTGGCCTTATTTTGCTATTGGAGCATAATTTCCAGTGACAAAGTTGAGGGAAATGACCAGCTTCTCCTCCTGATGTGTCTATGAAGCCTTGGTCTGATTCTGGAACATTTACACTTTGCCATAGCCATATCACCTGACAAAAATAATGATGTTTACATTTAGGGTCCCTGGGGGCAGGCAGAGATCACTAAGCAGCAGCTAGAATGTAACTTAAGACTTGGCGCTCCTCTAGTGAGCCACAGCCCACTGGGTTCTCACCAGCACCCGCCGGAGGCAGGCATGTCAGCTGTGAAAGACCAAAAAGCACATGGGAAATGTGAAGAAATGAAGTCCTCCGCTCTGGAGTCATGCAGATCAGACTTGCCTTGGCCTGACTGTTGTCAGTGGAAAATACAGGAAAAAAAAAATCCACAAATCAGTCAGAACTGCAGTACAGATTTCAGGAATTTATGTATTCAAATTTCTTTCCAGATAATTTAATGGAGTGAGAAACAGAAAAGCTTCCCTGTCATCCTCACCAGCGATTTGCATGCTGAGAAAGCTCAGCTGTCAGAGAAGAGGCAATGCTTTTGTGGAGAATGCTTCCAGGCGACATGTGTGAACACATGTGCCCCACGTAGCTCAGATTTCCTGCCACCAGTGTAGTGATGCTTCCAAGAGGAGGGAGAACAAAACCAGAGACAGAAATGCATACAGAATTATTTTATTTAACTTAAACCATGTAGTACTTTACTAGAAAAAAGCAGAGTAAGAGAAACTAACATTGCCTTAGCTTCGGCCATTCAAAATAGACAAAGTTTCTTTTTTTCATAATGTAAAGAATCCAGAGTATATCGCAATAACAGGAATAAAGTCTTACAACAGAACATACAAAAACATTTTGAAATTTTTTTCATCTACTGATTTTTTTATATAAACAGGATTTTTAAGGAATAATTTATACACAGAAAGTCATCTTATGTAACAAATTGGCCATGTTATTACCTTTAACTTTTTTTAAAAAAACTGTTTTTAAACAAGAAAATTCAAAAAATGCATTGTTTGTGGTGCATCCATTCCATCCCGCCTTCTGGTTTGATTTTTTTGTCTCCCAAAGGGGTACCCAGAGGTAGACAAACTCTGGCAAACCTCTCACCTCAACCTCACTGGCTTAGAAAGCAGACAGGTGTTTTCCCAGGCACCTCTTCCACCTGTGGGTGTGCGTGTGCAACGCCAAACATCCAAATGAAAAGTTGAAGACAAAACCCAAAGAGTTTCCGGATCTTTCTCCTGTGTAGTGCAGAAACCCTAGGTGATTCCCACAATGGAGGTATTGTGGAGTTGGGTAGACATGGCCAACAATCCCCTGGGGGTGAGAGGACGTGGAGTCAAACCTTCAAACCAATTTTTGTCTATGCTGTAGTTCTTATTAAAAAGCATTTTTTAAAATCTGTATAAGAAATATGTGTCTTCGGTGTTCTGCCTCAAATAGGGTCTCTTCCGTGTTCTAACAAAGCATTAATCATGATACGAGGCATGTAAGCAAATGGCCTGCATGCCTCGAAGCTGTCATCTTTCATGTGATCACCCTGCATGCTGTGATCATCGTCAAAACCATCATCTCTGCGGTCAAATCTTCCCATCTCCATGGCACTGCATGACAATGACAGCAGCCAGACCAACCCAACCAGATGCTGAACGGTGCCATGCACCGCTGGGCTGTAACACCCTGCTGTTTCCATGGCCAATGAGGTTCTTTCTGTTGAAGCTGCTACAGTCCAAAGGGAAATGACCAGTAAAAAATGATCCCCTTCCCAACCAGAGGGTTCTGGAAGACCAAGATACTGAAGATACAGAACTACTTTTTAAATGATCATCATTTCTTTGTTATAAACTAGGGCACAAAGCGCTGGGGGGAAAAGAGGGTGAACCACGGCCCGGGTAAGGGAAAAATCCTTTTTTTGGCATATTGTAAAGCTACCTAGGAAACAGGTGTCCTAAAAAAAAAAAATGGATCACAAACATACATTTGCAAACACAGAGGAAAAAAAGTGTCTTTAAATTATTTTCGGCAATTATAAACTACAAACGTTTTATAAAATTATTCTGTGTTCTTACAAAAATGCAATGAAACATGTAATTAGTTCTTGTAAACCAGATCTTCGTCAACTGACTACCCGTAATCTACTGGACTTAAGAGCCCTATTGAAAAGGCTAATGAGTGACTAGTTAAAACAATGTTGACCAGGAAGATGCAGACACACAAACATGGACATACAAATGAGTGATCATTTATGCTCTTGCAGAAAAAAAATAAAACCCTAAAGACATGCCCCGGAACTACAATTGACAAGTGCGATGTAGTTCGTATTCTTGAACAATTCCACTTAACTCTGAGATCAGTTTCCAGAGCAGGATGTTAGGTTTCTTTGTTGAAACCAAATGCCCATGGATGACGGCTGAGCCTTGATGTGGTCTGATAGCTTCAGAAACCATCAAGTTCAAAACATTGCCCACATTTCTTCCAAGCCCCACACCTGCTGCTTGTGATTCTTCTCTCTGTGCCAGGACCCCTCTGACAATGGTTTCCTACCTACCACCTGATCATCCCACCATCAAGGGGCACTCACTTCTCCAAATGACCAACCAGTCATCCAAGATGAAGGCCGAAAACGAAACCCTCTGACCTGTCCGAGGTCTGTATCTTCAGCATCTCTGGCAACAGAGGTTCAGTCTAAGTAACATCCTCTCTTGAAGTTCTCATTTGTACCACCAGCTACTTCAGAGTGGAGTATGAAAGAGTAACTTTCATCACGGGTTTGTAAGGAGTGGATCTCTGGTCCACATCTCCCAATGCTGCTTAGCCCAGGAAATGAAAAGACAGCTGACAACACAGAGTAACATTAACAAAAAGAACAAACCCCGAATGTTAAATGCATAACTAGGACTGCTGGAATGGGCCAAGGTATGCCACAGCGGGTCACTGTCACTGGGAGGGAGTGGCGACCAATGCCATCTGGCCACTCTGGGAGGAATCAACAGTGATAGCTGAGGACACTGGACAAGCATCCCAGCCTTCTCACCCATCTGACCTCAGTGTGCTCTTGCCACAGAGCCACTTGCAAGCTGTCCGGCCATCAGCCTGCAGAGGAGGGCTACTATGGGAGAGGCTTCAGTGGAACAAACAGGCCTAGAACCTGATGCCACAGAATAGTCAGCTCATAAATCTTTTATCCCAAAGCACACCCACTTGCACTGAGCCTCGTGCCATTTGGCAGTTCCACAGTGACCGCTCTTCTATTTTATGAAGCCACTTTTCCTACCATTGAAATGTGGTTCCGCATCTTAAGAAACAGGCCGGAAGGAGGCCAGGTCAGCCAGGAACACGGTCTTCCATCTTTCAAGGAGGAGGCTCATTCCAATGGTATGTCAAACATAATGACATCCCACGAAGGAGACCTGGGGTGGTCTGGGTCTCACACAGTTCAAGTTCAACAATGTCTCCAGTCCACAGCAGCTCCTGCTGCCTCAGGGAAGGGCTGTGCGGAGAATGTCTTAATGCTCACATCAATTCCATGATGTGCCTCAGTGGTTCACGTGACTTCAAGCAGTGTGAGCTGCTGGCAGGAGGAGGTTGCATGGAAAATGCCACAACTCAGTTTGGTAAGATTATTTGGAACATACGAGAGAGAAAAATCAAGAAGAGGTGGAAAAATCAGTGTGAAATTAGGCTAGAACTGAGGACAGATGCCGCCTTCATATAGGTCAAGGTGAGTGGGTTGGTCCAGTAAAATGACTGCACCGTCACACAAGCCAAGTTTTCTCTTTTATTGAAGTGTTTCTGAAGCATTTGTTATGATGGGCACTACACTGTTAGTGTTTTCTTTCTACTTAAAAGCCACCTACATAAAAACAAAATGACATTGCTTGGACAGTTTAAACAAAACCCTTTTAACCAGCTGAATGATCTGTAGAAATCCAGTTGTGGAAACCGGTAGGTATGTGCAAATGAGAGGAGAGGCCATAATTCTGAGGGGTCACCTACAGTGTGGAAGAAGAAAACCCTGATCAAACAGTGTTTCTCAAAGACCTTAAGATCCCTGGGGTCTTGGGAGAGGCGGGCCGCGTTCCGGCAGGAGGGAAATGGCTCCTGAGCGAATTAAGTCAGTACTGGGATTGCAGAGGAGCCAGCTGTACTTGTGGGAAGCTGCCCACCACGTTTCCCAGCTAAATCATCAGTGCCTGTAAGAGCAGCTGCTGGGAGTGGGGAGTGAACTGTCTGTCCTGTGAGCAGCAGAACCAGAGATAGACAGACAGGTACAGCCCAGGCAGGAGGTGCGACGCTCATGGAGGCTCAGCGCCGACCACTGGCCTCTCCAGCCTGAAGGTTTGGTACATCTCTTTCTACCCCTAGGGGAGGAGGAGGTGAAGGAGAAGCTGAGAGGGCAGCCTGCAGGGGGAGGGCACTCTGCTACTGCGTGTGTTCTATCAGGGACAGGCTGTGAGGTCAGGAACCTCTGCATTCTGGAGTGCAGGCTGGGTGGACCTCGCTCTTCAGCTGCTGCTGCGGCTGCACCTTTGTACTGAAGGAATACAGCAATCATGGCAGCACCTCCCTGCCTCAGTGCAGGCCTCCTCCAGGGCTGCAACAGCAACAGCAACAGCAGCAGCAGCAGCAGCAGCGAGGGGGGCAAACCCAATGCTCCGCGCTTTTCCCCACAGGATTCTCACAGACTGTGCTGCCTGGACGCCTTCCTGACCTCAGACCCTGCGGAACAATTGCTCTCTTAAGGATGAAGTGTGTTGGTCATTTGATCTGCATGGAAGCAGTTTGTTCCAAAGACAGTCAGCCAGGGACAGCCTGGTGGCCCCCCAGGTGTGCTCTGGGGCCCTCCTTGGCCTCATGGGGCCACCCAGCTAGGAGGAGGAGAATCCTAACACCTTGGTGAAAACCAAGATAGAAAAAGAAAAAAAGCAACACAAAACAAGACATCTCAGAATAAGACAAGCTGTCTGAAATAAGCCGAGGTGAGTTAGTGTTGCTTTGACCCCGGAATTCGGCCTGGCTTCTCCCTGCACCTGGTGTGGAGCCTGTGGCGTGGATGAGGTTACCAGTATCAACGGCCTGTTGTCAGGTACTGAGAAACGTGAGATGTATTCTTTTATATACACATATAAAAAACAAGAGTGAGGTAGAGTAGATACATGTTTGGGGGGAAAAAAACCCAAAAAATCAAAAACTGTCCCATCACACACACGCGCGCGCGCACACACACATCCTTTCCTTGGGATTTAAATTCATAATGGGGCTTCTCTACAGTGATTGAAACTGCTATCACAAGATAAATTAAAAAGAAAACCCCTACATATAGTACCTTCCTAATTTTTTTTTTTTTTTTTTTAAGGGAACATGCTATGGGGTAGAGGCTAGAGAAAGCAGTGAGACAAACTGCTGACAAGCAAAAAAGCACTACAGACTCTTTGTGTTTTATCTTCAGTCACAACTAGCAATCGCCGTATCTCAACTCTGTTCTTACTCCTAATTTAAACATTCCCATCCCAGAAGCAACTCTTGTGCTGTCACCTCTCTGGTGAGAAGTGCTATAAATGAAACAAAGCAAGACCCCTGGTCCCTGAGGACCTGGATTCCCGGCTGAGGGAAAGTGGGCCAGCACCACAGCCCTGTTCCCCCGGCAGGGAGCCAAGGGGCTCTTGGGCCACTGTGGCATCTGTTCTGCCCCAACCTGGAGCTCCTCTGGCCGGCACACCCCTGAGGATGCCGCCCTGGGCCAGCCTGGATCCCAGGGTCCCGCTCGCCGCCAGCATGAAGGAGGTCCCTTGGGGTGTTCTGGTTCCCAAGACAGTTCGGTCGGCCTGGTGAGGGTGGTGGCAGGGGCCACAGCAGGGCCTGCTGGACCACACTTGGCTGCTGCCTTGGAGTCAGCAGCTGTTTTTCGTGGGATGAAAGGATTCAATAGCCATTTAAAAAAAATAGGAATCCAAATGCCTAGTGTCTGCAGTTAACACTGCTGTTGTACCCAAGAATTAAAAAAATAGAGATATGTGTGTCACAACCTAAACAGAGGCAAGGGAAAGAGAGGGTGAAGCTTCTCGACCGTGGTGAGTGGAAACACTGAACAAAGACGTGTGAAGGATTTAACCTTTGTTTTTCTGACCTGAGTTTGTATTATGTCTTGCACTGTAACAGACTCCAGTGCTGTGAGGGCGGGCTGGGGGGAGGAGTGTGGCCCTCTCAGGGCGGGTGCCCGGCCCTCTTTCCGCCTCGTGCCCACAGAGCCTACGGGTTAGAAAACAACTAAAGGGGCAGGTGGGAGGGAAGAGGGGGGATGTATTTATAAAAAGGCATCAAACAGTTCATGGCAAATTATGTTGTAGAATTATCAATTACCGGGAAAAGAGGAAGAAAGTCACGCACTCTAGTACAAAGCATAAGAAGTTTCTTGGAGTGAGCAGAAAGGGGAGAGGGTGGACCTGAAGGTTTTCATAGATTAAATCCACAAAGATCAGGAACAAAAAAAATAGCAGCTTGTTTTCTGTACAGACGTATAGATGAATATCTGAACCGTAAAAAAGTTATAAAAGTGACATTAAAGACGATGTGTATGCAAATGTTTCATGGTCTAACATAGAACTGTAAGACCCATGAAGAAGTCCTAGGAACAGAGAAAATGTCAACAAAGCTTAGAATGCTTGAATCCATTGACTGCTTTTCTTCTTACTGCTGTTGTGGTGTTTGAATTTCCTTCCTTGCAAGCCTGCATGAACAGTTTGGCTGAGTCCCTGGAAACCCGTTCCCATTTGTGTACTTGGGGGCGGGTGGGGGGAGCTGGGGCTGGGAAAGGAGCAGGCATGGGGCCACCTTGACTCAAAGCCTGTCTTCCAGGCTGCCCAGGCCCCATTGCCTCCAGATTCTTGGGGGTTGGGGCAGGGAAGCTGGTTCAGCTTCTCCCAATCTTCACTGAGCAAAAGTCCCCCTGTGTCCAGTTCCCCCAAATAATGTGTGCAAGTGGCATTGAGCAGCATGGCAGGGCAGTCAGAGCGTGTCGCCAGCGTGTCTCTCAGACGAAGCAATCAGATGCCATGCTCACCCATGCCTCAGGACACAAGGAATCAGCGCAGGGACGGTGAGGGGAGAGTTCAGGATTTTGGCAAAATTTGGCAGCGTTAAAATGGTAACAGCCTTGCATGAACAATGGCCCTTTGTAAATTTCAGGTCCCTAAAAAGGGAAAGATTAAGGTAAAAATTTCCATCTCAACGTGTTTTTTTGTAATGACCTACGGTGGCGGGCGGTGTGTACAGGGGCTGCATGGGGGTCACAGGGACAGCCACTTCCTCAAACTGATAAAAAGGGCGTCCTGGCTGGACTTGCGGCAATCATTTTTCCATTATGAAGCAGAGAGAGAAAAGTGAGAGAGCAAAAGGGAGAGAGAGAGAAGAGGAAGGACAGGGACAGAGTGAGGAGACTGGTTCTCAAGTGCTCTGTTGCTATTAAGTGTTGTCGTTAAGGTTCTTAAAGGCCCATGTCAGTTAAGGGTTTGGGTAGGGAATAAAAAGCTGCTTGCATATTGAAAAAAGGAACATCCCAAATGTGTTTACTGCAGAGAAGCTGTCTCCTGTGGGCAGCAATGGCAGTTCTGAAGATCCACTGAGGTACAGGAGCCTTATGAATAGATTGTTGAAACTTGCTCTCTCTCCCCACACCCCGCTGAGCGTGCACATGTGTTACTGTTTGCACGGACTTGGGATCCTCAGCAGGTCGAAGACTGGGGCAGCGGCAAGGCCCGCTCGTTCTTGCGGCCCCCGTTCATGTGTGCGAAAGGCTGCCTCTCGTCGAAGCTGGCGCGGAGGACAAGCACTCCAGGACTGGGGCTGTTCTCAGCCTTGTGCCCGGAGCGTCTGTCGGGCAGTGGCAGGGACGCCGAGGAGGCTGAGGGGTCCAGAGGGACACTCTCCATGTTCTCCGGCTCCAGGTCTAGCTCTTCTGGCTCGGGCGGCTTGTTCTCCTCGCTGTAGTAGAAGGAGACCTCCCGAAAGCCAGGCTCCATCTCATCTTTGATGCTGCTGATGATCTCCAGGAAGGAAGGCCTCATCTTGGGGTTGTACTGCCAGCACATGCCCATCAGTTCAAACCTGCAGCCAAGACACATGGGAGGGGGTTCCAAGCTGAGAGGGCGTGCATGGCCACGAGGCCTCCTGGTACCTGCTGGTTTTCCTCCTACATGCGTACGGTGGGGGTGCTGAGCACAGCCTGCTGCCGCTCCCCATCCCTGGCTTTCTGCATCTCCTGTTTTACCTTGCATGGTTCCATTCACTTCACCCAGAACCCGGGACCGCCACGGTACAAAACCCAAACTCTCCTTTCCCAAGAGGGCCTAACCTAGGTCCACACCATCCATCATTACAGGTACTAGTTATGGTTCCAGTGCCAACAAAAATACCAGTTTTCTATCTGAGGCAGCTCAGGTAGCCATTGCTGAAACACTGTTTCTCACTAATAAGGCTGATGAGTGACTGTGGCTTTCTCAAAGGTGCTCTCTCTCCGAGTCCCACCTGTGCTATTTCTAAGCTTCCTCCTAGTGCAGGAGTACCCCTGCAGAGGACGGAAGGAAGGAAGGCACCATGAGGGCAGGCTTGTGCTAGCACCTGCTCACTCCAGCCCTGCGCAGGCAAGCCCTGGCCTTGGGCTATTCTGGATCAAACGAGGCCCAGTGAAGCCAGACCTGAAGCCAGATTCTAACAAGCCAGCAAGGAGAGCCCTGGGCACGAGTCCACTCCACAAGCAAGGGACAGGCACAACAAGTGTCAGCTTGTGCTGGGTCTCGGTCGTATCAGCTGGGCTCTGACAGCACCTGGGTCGCAAATATCTGTGGGGCCCTCAGAGTCACATAGGGCAAAGGGAGTCTTCCCCACTGTGCCCGGGGCCCCCCAGGAAAGCAGCAAGCTGCACATGGACAAGGAAAGCTGGCCGCCCTGACCCAGGAAAGGCCTGAGCTTTGAAAAGCTTCCAGAATGCAGAGCCCCCCAGCTGAACAGACTTTTGGAGCAAAAAGGGGCAACTGGCCACCATGCAGGTCTGGCCCTCACTCTTTGGAGTGACCGCCAGCAGCCCCTCTCTTCTGTGAGCGTGAAACCAAAGTGCAGGCCTTTCCACCTCTGTTCTCACCAAGAACTTCTACTCTTTGTTTAAATTCTGGCTAAAGAGACGCTTTTCCATAAAAGTGGCCACATAGAACTCTCCACATCTTAGGAAGCTCAAAACATCCCAAATTAGCATCTAGCCTCCCGTCAGGCCGGCCACTGGACCACAGACCACCTGCCCACATCTGGCCTTGGGTAAAATTCCATGGCGAGGAAAATGGCCTGGGCCTAGAGCCTGGAGTGTGGGTCCTCCGTGCCAGCTTCAACGAGAGACAGCCTGACAAATGGGGGCCCTGATACAAGAAAGGCCACTCACTGGGCATGGACGCTAGCCTTCCAAGAGAGGGTCTCCTCCAGTCACTCGGCAGCTTCCTTCAGGTGGAGACTGCAACCTTGAGGGGAGGGTGGGCCTGGGCATAAGGGAGAGCCATCCAGAATTCACCAGAAGTCAGCATTCTGGAGCCTGGGGGCCTGCATCTCCACAGGGCTTACCCCAGGCTGCCCTGGCACGGGGCCACGCTGCCTTGCTTCCATGCAGGCTACAGCTGCTTTCACCTACAACTGCCAGCAGAGGGTCAGGACAGACACTGTGGCCTGCAAGTCTACAATGTTTATTTACCATGTGGCCCTTTGCAGAAGGAAGGTTGCAGGTTCCTGCTCTGAGAGGAAAGGAATTAGACCAAATCTGAAGGCCCCACAGTACGCTTCTTAGATATGGAGAGTTCCATGTGGCCACTTTTATGGAAAAGCATCTCTTTAGCCAGAATTTTAAAATTCTACCCCAAGGAAGAGTGTGGTGTGCACACGAGGTGCCAGACAGTGAGGCAGTTATGTATGTGAACTGCTGAGGTCCTCACAGGCCTGTGGAGCAGGTGCTGCTGACTATAATCTCTCCCATTTTACAGACGGGGAACAGAAGTACTGAAATATTAAATACTTTTTCCAAGGTTACAAAACTCGTGAGGGCGGACCTGGGATGGAGTTGTCTGTGCAATAGGATGACTACTCTTTGATCGCCATGATCCTGGAAAAAGGAATTTTCTCTTAACCTAAGAAAGAGTAACCCTGGGTCCACCAGGAGACCTCCCTCACCTAACTGTCCAAGGGATAGTCACAGATGTCACAGGGATGTGGTCTGCTTTGATAAAAACTGGCACCTTGACGACAAATAAGCCTGCCTTTCCACACTGCCTGTCACTTCCTAAGAAAAAGGATTGGGGTAAAAAAATTACAATCGGCCATAAAGACACAAAATGCGTCTCCATGGCCAGGCTGTGACTTCTTCTCTGGCTGACTTGCCCAGGCAGAGATGCAGCCGGGCCAAGAGCATGGGATGTGCCTGGCTCCGTGTCCTGTGGCCAGGGACTGAGGAAGTGCCACTGGAGGGGCAGTGACTTCGGCACACACAAGCCATGTGATGCCTCTTTTAAACCATTCCAGAGTAACAGCCCTTCCAGTGCTGCCGATGAAAGGAAGTCTTTTTTGTTCTGTGGGATTCAAGACCTTGTTTACTATTTCCACACACACACACAAAATCCCCGTTAGACTCTAGAAGGACGTATGAGCTGATAAAACTCGTCTTTTAAAAAGCACGTGTTTTGTGTTTTTTACCACGGGTCAGCTCTGGTGCGTCTGGAGCCATCCTTCTGGAATGCTCTCTCCTTTGGGGAACGCATACCTGGCCCTTCTCCTGGAACAGGGACAAGACTCGAATGGAACCCCTGCCCTGCTGGGAAGCAGCTTCCTGGGGGCCAGCTGTGCCCCGCAGAGGCTGGGTGATGGTCAGTGGGGGGAGCACACGGAGGTACCTTTGTATTCCAACCCCACTCTTGGCCCCAATGTCCTGAACTGGACAGGCTGTGACCTGTGTGGGATGTCAGAGGCCAGGAGGTACCTGCACATTCCCACACGCTGCCAGGAATCAGCAGGGCTCCAGACCAGTGCCGATGCTCACCGGATTCCTGGGGGACCTGCAGGGCTGAGTGTGCCCCTCTCCTGGCAGTCCTTAACAGTGAGGACCGTCTCAGGAACCATGCCGCAGGCAGGAGCGGACGTGGACGTGGGGCCTCCGTGAGCTCACCGGGGCTGAGCCCGAGCACCCCTCCTGCCTGCTAGCATCCCACTCAAGCACTCAATTCCCGTAAAACCAAACCAGGATTCCAGCGATGGGAGAAACTGTACTGGAAAACTACAAAAACCATCAGATTCCACTGAGTTTGTTTCAGACTCATCTCTGAGTTAATTACGCTCCAGGCTAAAAGTTCTGATTCCTCTCTGAATCCTGCAGACTGAAGACTTCTCTGGCAACAGTCTGGAGCGTGGAGCTGAGGAAGTGTTACCAGCAGAACAAACGGCCTCCTAGCTCATGTGTTCACGGCTGAGTTCACACCTCTGCCCTGGCCCTCATCCTGCAGCATTAGAGCCGGGACCTTTTACATTATCACGTTTCACAAAAGCCAGGGCCACTCCTGGCTCATCTGTGTGACCTCAGGGGTCATCAGCATGTGCCCAGAAAGGCTCGATGTCTGTGGCATAAGTACCAAGTGGATGGGCTTTGTCGTCCATCTAGTCCAGACCCAGCAGGGAACCACAACTCAAATCTGATGTCAGGACACTTCCTAATTCACAGGAGTCATGACGTTGAGACTCAGACCTCAGCACCTCGTGGCTTGGAGACCACGGAATCCTTCCTCTAAAGCTGGAGTACTTGGTGATTCTGAGGGGTGAGAATCTGGCTACTTCCTGATGCTGAGCAAAAGTCCACCAGCAGCCACTGAGCTCCTCCAACCCCCAACATCCCCAGATAGTGCCTGTTCACACCTCAGAACCACACAACTCACGCACTTCCTCTCTCACCTGGGACCTGGCAGAGGTTCCAGGTAACTCCCGAGGGCTCAGGGACTCTGCCCTCTGGGATAAACAGAGGCCATTCTTTCATTTCTTGTGACAACAGAACTCCCGTCTCAAAATTCTCCTTTCTCATGTAAGCTCATCAGTAAACTCAGAAGGACAAAACGCACACTCCCTATGAAACCAACTTGCCTCCTTTCATTCTGCTCTTTTCTTTTTTTTTTTTTTTTTTTTTTTTTTTTTTTTTTTGAGATGGAGTTTCGCTCTTGTTACCCAGGCTGGAGTGCAATGGCGCAATCTCGGCTCACCGCAACCTCCGCCTCCTGGGTTCAGGCAATTCTCCTGCCTCAGCTTCCTGAGTAGCTGGGATTACAGGCACGCACCACCATGCCCAGCTAATGTTTTTTGTATTTTTAGTAGAGACGGGGTTTCACCGTGTTGACCAGGATGGCCTCGATCTCTTGACCTCGTGATCCACCCGCCTCGGCCTCCCAAAGTGCTGGGATTACAGGCTTGAGCCACCGTGCCCGGCAATTCTGCTCTTTTCTTAGAAGGGAGAAAAATTTGCCAAGGAGGTTCTCGACGGCAAAGCAGACATACCTCCTGAACCAAACATTTAACGTCAGAGTAACCGCTCCGAGTACATTTCCTTGTTACTCTAGGCTGGGAACAGGAAGTGCCCTGAGTTTCCCATGGCAGGTAGGCTGCGTCCCAGGCAGCTTCCATTAATATTAAAACCCCAGTCACCTGGAGGTGGACCAAGTAAGAATCCCACAAGTCCCTCATAGATAAATGTTTCCCCAAGTCAAAGAGAAAGCACAAAAACAATACCACTCTCCCTCACCCACCCCAAACTACAGGAGCAAAACACACACCTGCTTTCGTGGGCTGTTTCTAAGTTTGCTAAAACACCCCCAGTTCTAGTATTAACCTAGATTCTGGGACTGTACCTTTATGCAAATTCAGTAGGCATCAGCCCTCATACTCCATGGCTTATATTCAGACTCGAAACATGATTTTTCTTATCATCGCTGGCAAGAAAACAGTGGCTGCACTGCTCAAAGTGTGGAGCAGATGGTCACCTTTGAGGGGCAGAGGGGTGTACCCAGGCTCGTCCTCTCCCTCCTGTCCTGGGGCTCACATCCCCCTGTCACACATGCTGTAACCTGAAGGAGAGGGTGGGAGCCTCCAAGTGTGACTTTGGAGGTTTGGTCAGAAAGGATGCTGTGGCTTCTGCTCAGGTCCTGGATCTTTTCCTCTAGGGCACAGCAGGTGAACCATGTACCTGTGGGCCAGATCTGGCCTGCTGCCTGGTTTTCTAAGGCCTATGAGCCAAGAATGGTTTTCATGTAAATGGCTAAAAGAAATTCAAAATAAGAGTATTTTGTGACAACACAGAGATGATGTGTAATCCAAATTTCGGTATGCAAAAATAAAGCTGTATTGGAACATAGCCACATGAGCTTAGGTGACACCTGCTTTTGCTCTACAAGGGCAGAGTCAAGTAGTCACAGTCAAGGTTGTATGGGCCCACAGAGCTAAAAATATTTTTTAGCCAGCCTTTTAGAGAAAAGAGTGCCAAACTCTGCTCCAAGAGAAGCCAGCTACACGTCCTGAGACACGTGGGCAGTGCTATGGAGAGGCCCACATAGGAACAGGGTGGCTCACGCAGGGCACAGTGACCAATGCAGCAGCACCTGGAAGTAGGTCTGCCCACCCCAGGCAAGCCTTCAGATGGCTGCAGCCCTAACGGACAGCTGGGCTGCAACCGCAAGACGTTCGAGACCAGCCTGGCTATCATGGTGAAAGCCCATGTCTACTAAAAATTAGCTGAGCATGGTGGGGGGTGCCTGTAATTCTAGCTATTTGGGAGGCTGAGGCAGGAGAAGTGCCTGAACCTGGGGGGCGGAAGTTGCAGTGAGCCGAGATAGCGCCACTGCACTCCAGCCAGGGTGACAGAGCAAGACTCCGCCTCAAAACAAAAAAAAAGTGCAGTGAGAAGACAAATTCACTAGCATGAGATTCATTTCTTATTGCTAAGAAATACAATCTTAGCAATCAGAGGACAGACCAGTGTCCTTCTGTCTGCAGGGACATCAGCTTACACACGCTCCAGGTCCACACTGGTCAGGGGATGAAGCTCTGGAGAGTATGTTGCTTAGATGGTTTATGACTTTTGTAAACGCTTAACAGAAAAGAAACGTGGGGTGGGGTTGTAACCATCTGAGTCAAGCTGACCCTACGTGGAGCACACAGGAGTCCTGACCAGGCAGCTCTGCGTACACTCACTGCAGCAGTTCCCTCTGCCAGATGTGGACAGGTGGCTCTTGAATTTGACTTCAGAGTATTAAGTGTTGTGTTCTTGCCTTTTTAAAACAAAACAAAACCTCACATGGAGTGGATGATTAAGGACTGCTGTGGCCAAACATTTCAGATATTTGGCTTGAGAAACTAGGTGCAAACTGCAGATCAGAACTAGAGCATTAAGGCATACGGAGTAGAATTAAGGTACCTGCGCAAAGGCACAGGTCTACTAGCCATACTTGGCTCCTTCCATGAGGACAAACCTCTTCCCAACAGCACCTGGCCGCCACAGCACACTCAGGACCAGAGAACGGCTTTAATCTCCTGTGACCCAGGAACACAGGTATTTGAGACAAGAAATCAGAAGAGCACTGAGGGGCCCCAGAAGTACGTACAGCATGTCGGGGCAGTTGTCTGGTTTGTCCAGGAGGCCGCCCTCCATCACGAAGCGAAGGACTTGCTCATTGGACAAGCCCTGGTACGGCTGCTCGGCCAGCGTGGCAATCTCCCAGAGCACAACCCCGAAGGACCTACGGTGAGAAAAGAACTGTGAGGAGCTTGGAAAGGGACCGTGCTGCCCCTTCCTTCCCAGCACTTCTTCCACCCCGAGCACAGACTGTCCTTACTGTAGGAACAGCGCCTGTGAGAAAGCAGGCCAGGCCCTGGGCTACGTGTGGGACGTCATCCTCCCTTAGTTGCTGCTAATGTTCTATGTAGACTAAATTCAGCCCTGGTGGCGGAGCTGAGGAAAGTGACGGTGAGGGCGCTGCATCCCTTGCATGGTCAGGAAGCCCCTGATCTGTGCTTTGAATGCAGGGCATACTGAGTTCATAATCCACCTAGTCCCAACCATTTACGTGGCAGGGCAGTATCTCCTAAACTGGCTTTAGCCCAAGAAGAATGACATTCTTGTCCCAGCCCCAGCTTGCACACTGACTTAGTACTCTCAAATGAGGCCTGGGACTGTCAAGCTTTACCAAGCTCCTCAGGTGATTTTTACAATCAGACAATTTTGGAAACCTCTACCCAAGTAGTTCTCACTGCTGGCTGCACAGGAGAATCTCCTGGGGAGGTTTCTAAACAGACAGAAGCCTGGACACCCAGTAGAAGCTCTGATTTGACTGGTCTGGGGTGAGGGCCTGAGTCCTGGAACGTTTAAAAGATCTGTGGGGATCCTGAGGTCCAGTTGGGCCAAGGGAGAAGAGAACTCCTGCTGCTCCCCACCCTCAACAGAGCTGGGGGCTCCAGCCTGGAGGGCCTCTGTGTCACAGGTGGGGGGACCAGGGTGGGCTGCCCTGGCTGGTAGAGGTATCATGGACAAAGAATCCTTAAGCAGAGAAGTTGGCTGGGGAATAACTGTAGTGAGCAATTCTGCCATGCATGCAGCTTTGCCTGTCAGTTTAAACTACTGGAAAACAAAACAGATAGTACCCGTACACAAATTTCAGACAGAATGTTAAAAAAGACAATGCTATAATCTGCAAAATAAATGCACCCGCGCAGGGCAAATCTCCATCATTCACAGCTTCTCCCTGGCCTGTGTGCCTTTCCACATGGTTCACTTCGGTGGAGTAAAGTAGGCTACTCATCAGCAAGCGGCCAGGGGTAGGGGCGAGTGCGGCTTCCAGCTGGACCCGTCCTGGGCTACAGGTGCTGGCCAAGCCTCATGGAAACACCTGGGGCAGGGGATTTCCCACCAAGAGCTCTTGGGACCTTGACCTTGTGCCCAAGCCCACCGGGCCCGAATGTATGAGAACGTTTTATTTGCTGCTTCAGCTGCTTTTGGTGAATCAAAGATTTTTGTACAAATTGATACTAAAAGTAGATGTTAGACAGAAATAGAATCTTAGCAATCAGAGGACAGACCAACCCAAGGTCCTTTTCAACTGCAAGTGACCAAGAAATGCTGTCATCTTCATGTTTTGTAAGAGACCCAGAGGCCAAAGCGCAGCTTAGAGGCCTGGGCCCAGGGAGCAGGGGCTCTCGGCCAGCTTCGTGCTAGAAGCTCTGCCTTCCACAACCAGCCCAGCCACACGGGCAGCATGTCAGTACCAGTAGGACCTTCACGTCTGAAATGCAGCTTGGTACAGGAAATGTCTAGCTCTCCTACAAAAAATTACAGATAAAAAAGGCTCAATCACTAGCTCTCTGCTTTTGCTGACTGCAGGCTGGCCTGGGAAATGGCCTAAGGATGTGGCTCTTCCCAGGCCCACTTCTCCTCTTGCCCCTGCTGCCTCTCCTGGCGGTGTCTCCGGCTTGCAGGCAGCCAGTTCTCACGGCACGGCTCCCACCCTGGCCCTCGAGGCCCAACTGCTCCACTGTAAGCTCTCAGTGAGTTTCACACTCAACTCTGATTTGTGCCCTGTTCTTCCTCTGGCTTCCCTGCAGCTGATGCCCATTCCAACCAAGCAGTCCACCTGCTGTCACCCATGCCCTCAGCCTCTTCCGTGTCCCACTGCAACATGTCCACTCAGGCTCACATCTGTCCAAGGTCTGGCACCCTCCTTCCATCCCCCAGCACTCCCTCAGTGTGAGGATCCTCCTTCCCTGGCCCACCACACCCCTCCCCCTCTCCTCTTTGGCTCCAGCTCAATGCAGGCGTATACTCCGGAGAACAAAAACTTCTTCAAGCACAGCTCTAATCACCCTCCAGTTTAGAAACCTTAACAGGGCTTGCAGAATTAGTCCAGAACCCCTAACACAACGGCTGAGGCCGGCTTGATCTCTCTGCAGCCTCCGTCCCCCGACAAAACCCCACCAACCCCACCTGCAGCAGGCGCTCCCCTCTGCCATGCCCGCCCAGCATCCCCACTGCCAGGAATCCCCCACTTCCTAGTGCTCCTTTTGTGACAATCCATACTTAGGGTGTGGCTCATATGACCTCATCTCATCTGTGAAGGCTTCTGCAACCCCAAACTGTCAGGATCACTTCCTCTTCTCCACAAGACTTTTACCTTCGAGGACCAGGACGATGACAATGACATCATCATCATCCCTGCATCTTCCACACCCCGAGAGCCTTATCATCTCACACAGGCAACAGTGCAGGAGGTAGAAGACCCAGCTCTCCACAGATGCTTGTCGAGTTGAACCGCAAAGGCTATCCCCTGAGCAACTCTTGTCTGAGGTCAGCATCACCTGTCACTGAGGGCCACCGAGTGCTGGAGTCTGTCATCCTTCACAGCTTAATGTGACAACAGCAAGGTGTGGATACAGAACCATCTCTACCCAATACCAGTTGCCACAGGAGCCATTTAAACATCTATTCAGGTACCACAGACATCCCCAGACAGACCTCGCCTTACAGATGGAGCAACCAAAGCCCAGAAGAGCTCTGAGATTCGACCAAGGCCACACAACCAGTCAGAGGCACTGAGAAGAGGCAACACTTCTGTGTTTTTCAAAGCGGGTACTTTACTATGTGGTGCTGGCTATTCATGCCTTCATATAAAATCAAGTCTCCTATTTCATAGATGGGTTTAATCTTCAAACATTAGATAAATGTCTGTGTAAAGCCCTTTCTAATTAGGAACACTGAGGTGGTTTCCCTAGGGAGCAGACCCGCTGCTGTGAGTCCCCCGCCATGTCCATGCTGGCTGGAGGCAGCATTCAGTAACTGCACTTCCCCACACCAGGAGGGGATAGTAGCAATGGCCCATTCACCAGCAAATTAAAACCTACAGAGAAATCCACATTCCCTACAGATGGTAATTAGCCATGAAAGCAGCAAATGACCTTGGCTATTTGTGACTATTTGTAAAGCTTCTTAATAAGAAATAAAGATTATGTGTAGGGTGATCCAGATGCTCAGGAAAGGGGCACAGCTCTCTAGGTTGTGGGGTGCAGCTCCCCAGTCCTTTGCCTGGTTTCATCTGTGCCTAGAGGGCACCTTTGCCATTTTAGAGGGACATGGCACTACAGGGAGCTGCAGGGAGAGCAGCCACAGTGCCCAAGGGCCTGGGAATGAAGTCTTGGAAGACAGCAGGAACCTGGACATGTTCTGGCTAGAAAGCAGACACAGTTCCTTAGATGACTCCAAGACCTGTCTATCAAGAACAGGGCAAGGTATGCAATTATGTTACAGACAGAAGGTCCAATGGGTGTCACAGAGAGGCTGATGGACGCAGAACACGAGCGACTTGCTAAGAACAAGGACGTCTAAAGCATGAGGCTGGCCTGCCTTTGTGGGGAAGTGAACATGGAGTGTCTAGAAACATCTTAGCAGAAGCTCAACCACCAGCTGTCAAAGATGCTGTGGGTGCCATTTGGGGACTGGGCCTGACCACAGGGATACTTCCCAAATCCTAAAATTCTGGGGTCTCTTCCACAAAGTCAAATAAAATTCTCTGTGTTTCTTTCTAGATTTCAACTATCTAGGAATCGCTGCTCTGTGCTGCTGAACACAATCTAAAATCACTTCCATTCTTTTGAGAGGAACAGCTTTAGTTTAGAGCCTGGACAGCCGAGAAACCTACTCCAGTGTCCTAGCCCTCCTGACCTGTGTGATCCTTAAAGCCTGTGTTAAACAAAATAAACCTGAAGCACTGTGAATGCCTGAGCATGTCATGGGATGAATATCAAATGCCCGTTCATGTTTATACAGATCTTTTCATAATGGTTCATTGTAGTTATGTAGTCAAATGGAAAGAAACTGATATTGAACACCCTATATGTCCCTTTGCTGCTGCTTGTAGCAATAACTGCTAGCCAGAATTTGAGTAAAATTCACCTGTGAGATATTCACAACACGTTATTGTCCTGTCCTGCCTCTGTTCTCCCTGGCTTTCTAGTTTTCTATTTTATTATACTACAAGCTGAGCTCCAAGGTCTTGGAGGCATGAAACCTAGAATAAACAGATGCATGCACATACCCAGGCTTGCCCTCTCCCCACGATCCCAATCTCTAAAAACTGCAAAACACTGTGATTTGACAGTAAAGAGATAACCATCTTGGACAGGCTGACTGCAAAACACATCTCAAACTTGAGCTCGAGAAGCAATCACGCTTTGCCAGGTCATATTCAAATGCTATTTCCAATTTGCACCTGTCTTCAAAATAAGATCCAAGGCCCTTGAACTGTGAAAGGTTTACGAGGTTAAAAAAAAATGACGTCAGTCACTATTGAAATAGTTCCTCTATGCGGTCATCCAGACAGTTGGAGTAAACAACTACCATTTCTGTAACACAACAGCAATGGGATCCCCCCAGAGGAAAGCCAAGACACTAGCTGACATTCTAGAAGGTGCCTGTGCCAAAGCCTCAGCCGGCCAAGAACCTCAGTTGTATTTAAGAACCTGACCTCTTCTCCACAATGTTGCCGAGGAACCACAATAAATAATACCACCGAGAAGCCTCCAATCCTGAGGCCGATGAGCTCCCACCGGAAGACGTTGTTTACGACTAAGGGAGACGTCTTGCTTCCTATAACCATCCCTGGGTCAACAACGGTGGATACCCACTGAAAGACAGGCAGCAGATGGAACCAACAGGAAAACACCAGCAGGACTCATAAGCTTTGGGTCTCAATAAAGCACTGTCTACAATCTGAAGGTGAGATTAGGTGAGGCAGACAGAGAGAGGTCTGTTTATGGAGAAAGTGGAAAAAAGAGAAGGCAGGCAGGAGAGAAACAAAAAGAGGTGATGGCTTCTAGCACATCCCACCTCCTGGACACATACTGATACACTGAAGACAGGCAGAAATGTCGGTCCCACAGTTCCTTTAGAGTTCCACAAATGCCCTTCTGCCCTTAGCTTGCCCACTGATAACAGGACACCTCAATGATGAAGGAGTGTTGCTCACACAACACTGAGCTAACACTGGAAATGGGGGACAATGAACAGAGAAAGCCAAAGCCCTGGAGACTGAGCTGGTGGGACGTGTGGAGGCCAGGGGGCTCCAGGCACGCACTGCAGCAAAGGCTCTCATACCAGACATCCGAGTGAGTGGTGAAGACTCCATCCTTGAGGGACTCGGGAGACATCCAGCGCACGGGCAGCAGCCCCTTCCCTCCTTTCCGGTAATAGTCTGTCTCATAGATATCTCGTGTCATACCAAAATCTGTAAGGGGAAGAAAGGGTGCAGAGTCACACGCTGGAGCAGGCGCCGCTACTGCCGCCGCAGAGGACCCTACACTCATTACGTGTGGACAGACACAAGGCAAGACACGGACACGCCCCACTTTAAGGTGGCCAAACCGCAGGGTTTGCACTTTTATAAGGAAGAGACAGTAAGGGATTGATTAGTCACATGACGAGCAAATACCATGCGATCACCACCTTTAATACATTTATAATCCGATTCCCTTAAGAAGTTAATTCCCTTATTCCATTTAAAATGAGAGGCAGGCTGAGTGTAGCAACTCAACGCCTGTAATCCCAGCACTTTGGGAGGCCATGGCAGGAGGATCACTTGAGCCCAGGAATTCAAGATCGGCCTGGGCAACACACCAAGACCTTGTCTGTATAACATAAAAAATTGGCCAGGCGTGAGTGGTGGTGTGCGCCCGTAGTCCTAGCTACTTGGGAGGCTAAGGTGGAAGAATCACTGGAGTTCTGGAGGTGGAGGCTGCAGTGAGCCATGATCACACCACTGCACTCCAGCTTGGGTGACAGTGAGACCTTGTCTTGAAAATAAAAATGAAAACAGAGGCAGTGTAAAAATTAGAGTCTCACGATTTATGAAAATATGTAGTACTGCAGAGATCAACAGTCATTTATACATGCTTTAAAAACCTGACCAACTCAACAGGAGAGTACAGATGCTTATTTACTTGGTAGCACTGCCCCATCATTAGAGAAAAGTAAATAATTTCACTGCTTAATAAGGGGGAAAATATTCAGATTTTTGTCATCAGTTCATGATGACAAAAGTACCCAGCAAGATGCCGAAGAGACGCTATTTATGAGGCCCCTGAAGCTATTACTCAATACTGTTTTTCAACATAATACTCCCACTCATTTTTGAAAATTTCTTCCATTTTCCATGTCTCCAGAAGATGTCACATAATTATGTTTGATGGCAGGCTCGCTTTATAATCCTAAATTATTGCTGCTTTGTCAGATTTTGATTCTGCACTCAATCATACAACCTTTTCTTACGTGAACTCTTCCATTCTCCTTCCCAGGAGAAAGGGCTGCTGTACTTTAAAATGCTCATTTATGCCTGTAACTCGTGCCACAAGGAGGTAGGGCTACAAAAGCAAACCCAGAGAACAGTTCCTTGGACTTGAACCAACATAATTTCCTTGTGCTATGCTACGGGCCCTCAAGCTGGGTCTGGTGAAATTACTGGTCATAGTTGTCATCCATGAGACACTGGGCAACGGAAAAACATCTTGAACCCTTGTGAAGAATGAAGTGCGAAAGTGTTATCTGTGAATTAATCCAGTGACATGCAAATGGGGAATTTGCCTTTACTTGCACAAGGTGGAAAAGATGGAATCCTACTAAAAAACACAAATGATGTTCCTCAGCACAAATGAAAACTCTCAATTCTGGGAAGAAAAACCACTATAAATATGCCACGCGGTTCAACAGCAGACATGATCCCTACCGATTTGAATTTAAAATGGCAATTGGCACAAAAGACACCTCTCCCTGTGTGATGCAAAGTGGGAGAAACTGAGTTCCTCCCATGTGCCAGGAGGGTGGGAAGGAAGACGCAGATAGGAACTACCATCTGTAGAGGCCCTGCCCTGTGCCAGGCACGTGCTACTGCTTTCCTGTGCCAAGTTCTGCTCACAATCCCAAGGGCTCTGTGACATTATCACCCCTATTTCTGAGGTGAAGAAATTGAGGCTCCCGGATGTAAGGCACCTGCCCCAAGTCTCCCATCCATTTGTGGCAGAACTGGCCCACCTGGCTCCCCGGTCCCTGTGCTCTCCCCGGTGCTGGGAAAGGGGAGCTGGCTGGCATTTCCATGGGGACAATCTGAATTCTACAAAGAGGGAAGGAGAAGCCAGCTGGGTGCACAAAGGAAGCCCAGGCCAGATGAGGGCAGCTCTTCCCTGGGAACCCTGGGGCAGGATGGGACTCTATTCCTTCTCTGAGGGCTGCCCAGCTTCACAGGGCACCAAATGTGAGGACGCCTCAACATGCCAAACCTAGGGACACACTGGTGGATCCTGAACAAGGAACTCTGAGGACAGAGGGATGTGGGCTCTGGGATATGGCTCTGTTTCAATACCTTTAGCTCCTACAGAGGAGAAAAAGGAAAGACACGCACCCCTACTTTAGAAACCATTCTCGGCCGGGTGTGGTGGCTCACGCCTGTAATCCCAGCACTTTGGGAGCCTGAGGCAGGCGGGTCACCTGAGGTCAGGAGTTTGAGACCAAATTGGCTAACATGACACCCCGTTTCTACTAAAAATACAAAAAACTAGCTGGGCATGGTGGCACGTGCCTGTAATCCCAGGTACTCAGGAGGCTGAGGCAGAAGAATCGCTTGAACCCAGGAGGCAGAGGTTGCAGTGAGCCGAGACCGTGCCACTGCACTCCAGCTTGGGCAAAAAGAGCAAAACTCGTGTCTCAAAAAAAACAGAATAAACCATTCTCTAAAAGATTCTCATTATTCACTCAAGGGCCAAAACATTTCATTCAAAAATCGCTACTAAAGGAAAAAAATATGTTACCAAAGGAAGGTAAACACCTCCAGAATAGACAGTTCAAGAACCAGACGCAGAGGTCATTTGAAATAGCTTCCTTTGGATATGAAATCTCCCCTGCAGTTTCTCAGGGTAAATATTTGGTATTTTTCTAAACTATCATATCATAGTGGGAAGATGAGAATCCTGGTAAAACCAGGTGGTTTCCTGAGCACCCTGATGTTATGTGTGTTTTCATTAGGCAGATTAAAAGACCAAAGTAAAAACACAAGCCTAAAGGCTGAAGTGGGTTTTAAACATTGCCAGAAATTCAATCCAACCCCTTTTTCTGGTGTGAGAGTGGGTGGTGGCAGCAAGGGTGTCTAAGCAGTACACTGCTGAGCTAAGAGCAGGACAGTAAGTGTTGGGGGAGAGTGGTCCAGAGCTTGGAGGCTGGCCACCCCGGCTGTGAAATGCAGTGAGCAGTGATCACCCCTCACCTAAGGGACTGCCAAGCCAGCTCCTGCTACTGCTCCTGCTCCATGTAGGGGCTCCATCATTAGGGCCGATTGCCTCTTAGAAAACAATGTGGACCCCTGGAAGGAGAGACCATTGCTCCTTAGAAGCTAGGAAAATCGGAGGGATGAATGTAAGGTTGGACAGTGAGTTTTATTCCCAAGTCCAAATCTGAAGACACTGTCTTGATTATTTCTGTAACCAATGCAAAGAAGTGTTCCACTGAGAAATGCCTCAACCATCAGGAGAGGCAGCCTCAGGGACCATGCCTACTACCTGAACCACCGTGTCCATGAGCTATCAGCACTGGGACCAACTGTGCCAGGATTGTGACCATCAACTGGAGACAATGACATCATTCCCAAGAAAAGAGTGCCCGCACTCAAGGCACACATTAGAAAACCTCTCCAGGGGCAGACGAATGCCAACAAGGTCCAGTAAGTTTAGTTCTTGCTCAGATCTGGAAAGCTAAGGACACACCTCCGATTTTGACCGTGAAATCTTCGGCAACCATGCAATTCCGGGCGGCCAGGTCTCTGTGGACGAACTTGTTGGCGTTGAGGTATGCCATACCGTCTGCAATCTCTCCAGACATCTGAATCATCTTGCTTAGGCTTGGAGGCGCTAGGACTGGATTATTCTGTCGGAGATTTAGAAAAAATTCACATGAGAATTTTGGATTTTTTTTCCACGCCAATTTCTTTCAAGGTTTGCAGATCATCTTTGTTCAATCTGGGCACCGAGGGTTGTTCACGCTAAGAAACCAGGTCTTGCTGGGAAGGCACAAACCATCGTGGAGAGCACAGCACCTGCTCACTCCCTGCAAACTTATCTGCACCCTCTCCCTGACCACATCACAGAGTTGCTGAGGGAAACACCAATTTGCACTCTCTAGGACCAGCATTTTCTACTTTGGGTATGGCAAAGATTATTTAAAGGTCAGGCGCGGTGGCTCAGGCCTGTAATCCCAATACTTTGGGAGTGCAAGTCCGGCGGATCACCTGAGGTCGGGAGTTTGAGACCAGCCTGGCCAACATGGGGAAGCCCTGTCTCTACTAAAAATATAAAAATTAGCTGGGTGTGGTGGCACACACCTGTAATCCCAGCTATTTGGGAGGCTGAGGTAAGAGAATTGCTTTAACCTGAGAGGCAGAGGTTACAGTGAGCCAAGATTGAGCCACTCCACTCTAGCCTGGGCAACAGAGCAAGACTCCATCTCAAAAAAAAAAAAAAAAAAAAAAAAAAAAAAGAATATAACGAAGCTGCAGGGTAAGCACACACATTTTATACTTGACATGAGATAGAGAAAATTTAAATCTGACCCATCTAAAGGTGAATTTTAGTTCTGAAAGGGATTTAAGGACTTCAGTAATCATCTTGTCCCATCCTCTTATTTTATATTGAGGACACTGAAGCCCAGGAACCTGTAGCACTGTCTGAGGACCACAGGCAGCCAGGACCAAGGCCATGTGTTCTGAATATTTTTTCTGTGTGTGAAACTGGGAAGGAAGGGAGTGAGTTTCGGACTTTCAGAGGTGCCGCAAATGATGCTGGCGAGAGAGACTCTGCCAAGTCTCCAGTCACCTGTTTCATCAAGCTTTTCTCCTTCATGCTGGCTTCTGTATTAAAGTCAGCTAATAGCTGGGAGTGGTGACGCACACCTGTAATTCCAGAGCTTTGGGAGGTGGAGGTGGGTGGATCACCTGAGGTCAGGAGTTTGAGACCAGCCTGGCCAACATGGGGAAACCCTGTTTCTACTAAAAATACAAAAGTTAGGTGGGGATGGTGGTGCACGTCTGCAATCCCAGCTACTCAGGAGACTGAGGCAGGAGCGCTTGAACCGGGATGGCAGAAGTTGCAGTGAGCTGAGATCACACCATTGCACCCCAGCCTGGGCAACAGAGCAAAACTCCATCTCAACATAAATAAATAAATAAAAATAAAGTGAACCAGGAAGAGGCACTAACACCCAGGGGTGCTGGGGACCAATACTTGGCGTCATTCATTCACAAGCACAAGCAAGACACTAACTCTGGATCAATCCTGAAATGTGGACGTAGAGTCTAAGGAAGCCAGATTCCCAGTCGCAAAAACAGTGCTGGGGAAGGAAGGGGGCGCTGTGTGTGTGTGTATGGGGGGGGTCGGGGGGGGTTATGAATGAGTGACCATCTTGTGCACAGAGCTCAGTGGGAAATCACCCAGGAACTTCCCAGAGACAAGGGCAAGAATCCAGGCAACCTAACCTTGAAGTTTAACACGTATTTACTGACAGAGTGTCTGCCACAAACGCAGCCCTGCGCCACATGCTCGGACTGAGATGAAAAGCTCAACACAACAGGGTGGGGGGGGTCACACTCCAACAACAACACAACACAACACAACACCAAGAGAGAACGCACGCAAGGACCTGAGTCAAGGGCATCGAGGAGTCGGCAGAGGAGATGGTTACCGGAGTGGGCGGGAACGCTTCGGGGAGGGAGTGGCACTGGCCTGGCCTGACAGGTAGACACTGATGTGGGGAGGAGACTGGGGGCAGAGGGAATGCAGGAACAAAGGCACAGAGGGGCAGAGCAGAGGGGATCCAAGGAACAGGAAATTCCTCTCACAAAGATCAGAGTCGGACTCTAGCTGGGGAAATCCTTTGTACAAATGACCTATAATCAAGCATGCAGTAAGAAACACTGGACGCTGAAAAGCAAACTGATTTAAAGACACAACATCTTCTTGCAGGGAGGCTCTAAAGGAAAGAGAGCATAAGGCAACATGCAATATTAGTGGAAATCGAGACTGACCTCCGTTTCTGGCCTCAGAGACCGGAGATAACTCTTGAGATCACCCCGTGTCATCAGTTCCATGATGACCAGTGTTGGCTGGCCCTGGGACACCACACCTAGCAACCGCACCTGGGAGGAATCAAAAAGAGAAAGACTCAGAGGGTCAGGGTGGCCCTTGCTGGTGCCTGTGTTGTCTGGAACTGTCTCTGTGGTGCCTTGGGCTGGTCTGAGCAGAGGGGTCTAAAGGTAACAGTGAGGCAACGGGGTACCTATCCAGAAGGCAAAGGCAAGACACCAAACCCACGGGTGGAGCCAAGAAAGAACACAATGGGGGGGCTTATGCGAGACTATCTCCCTGTGCTGCATTTTGGCCTTTCAGGAACATTCTCTTACCACATGGTGACAATTGAACTCCTTCATCACAGAAGCCTCGTTGAGAAACTCGATCCTCTCACGCATGCTTGCGGCCTCGTTCACCGTTTTAATGGCCACTCTGGTTTCGGGTTCATCTTTCACCACACCCTTGGCAACTCCTTCATACACCATCCCAAACGACCCCTGCCCAAGCTCCCGGCTCATGGTGATCTTCTCCCGAGCCACCTCCCACTCATCAGGAATGTACACTGGAGAAGAAACCGTAATTAAAGCAGGTACAGAAACAAGGCCTTAGAACGTGCTCTGGGGGAACTCTAAGCCAAAGGACATTAGATGCCACTTCCTTAAACCCACAAAGGAGAATACCAGGAGGTGATGGCATGGCTGGCTCTCAACTTTCCACATGCTGTAGATCTGAGTAAGAAAACTGTACAGTCGGGTTCTAGTAGTTCAAATACTTGAGGATTTCAAGATAATGTGAGGATACTAACACCATATAAGGACCAGAACAAAGCAAAGAAGCCTAGCACAGGAAAGAAAGCAGTTGTTTAATTTCTTTTCATCAAGTAAGAATACACTTTTGAGAAAAGCAAATTAACCATAGGGGACAGAGAAACTGAATGAAATGGTCAAGCAGGATTTTACTCATCTTCATCAGCAGATTAAAATGCAAATGTGAAAAGGAGGAGAGTAGCAGGGAGACAGAGACGAGTTCTTATTCTGGGTTGGGAAGGTCAGAGTTGCGTGTGAGAGGTGATGATGATGCGTGTGATGGATGGATCCAAAAGAGGTGTCAGGGCCCTCAACACAGATGCTAGGCCTGGGCTATCTAACATGGTAGCTGGTCCCCACATGGGGCTACAGAGCACTCCATGTGGCCAGTCCAATTTGAGATGTGCTGTAAGTGTAAATAAAATACACACAGGATTTCAAAGACTAGCCAAAAAAAAAAAAAAAGTGAACTATTTAGGTCACTTTAATACTGATTGCATGTTAGAATGGATAATATTTTGGATATATTGGGTTCGATAGCACATATTATTAAAATGCATTTGATCTGTTTCTTTTTACTTTTAAAAAACATGGCTACTAGAAAATTTGAGGTGACACAGGCAAACTGCATTATTGGTAGGATTACTCTAGTCAGAGTGTCTCCCAGCCTTGGCTTTGATGGCTGGATATCTAATGACGTGCAGAAGCAACTCAGCTCTGAGACTGAGGAAGAGACCTGGTGGTGCCCAGCATGGAGAGGCAATTAGGCAGCTGATGTGCAGAGGCGTTTCCAGGGCTCTTGGCCTGGGCTCTGTGAACTCGGGGACCTCCACCACTGGGTCAAGATTTGGGAGGAATACATGGACATACCGAGCCTGAATAGGATTTCTTCTCCGGGTTCTGTTTCTGTTTAGATTCTATCTGGTTTAAGAAAACAAATAAATGGGCTGTGTGTGGTGGCTCATGCCTGTAATCCTAGACCAAAATGGGAGGATTGCTTGAGCCCAGGAATTTGAGACCAGCCTGGGCAACATGGCAAAACACTATCTCTATTAAAATATTAGCCAGGTGTGGAGGCACACACCTGGAATGCCAGCTACTGGGGAGGCTGAGACAGGAGAATCGCCTGAGCCCAGGAGGTCAAGGCTGCAGTGAGCTGAGACTGTGCTACTGCACTCCAGCCTGGGCAACAGAGCAAGAACCTGTCTCAAAAAAATGAATGAATGAACGAACGAATGAACGAGTGAACAAAAAAATGAATATTTCTAGGCAGGAAGGAAGGCAAAACAAACAGAAAGACGGTCGGAAAGACAAAACAAAACCAAACAGAGGCTCGATTCTACACCTCCAAATGGGTAGGGTAAAAATGAAAATAAAATCAACCTATTCCATAAGATCCATATGAAATATCACCAATTCCTCTGAAGCTAATGTCCTTGCCTGACGGGACCTGCCACCAGGCTCTACCATACACCGACTGTTGGAAGGAGGCGGTCCTGGCTCAGAAAGGAAGTGGAGACGGTTTTCACATGCTGACCCTGGGCCTGTGACTGTTTTTGCTTTTGTGCTTTCAGATGATGATCCTGGACATATGGCTGGATGTGAGAGGCTGACAACTGTACCCCAACATGTCCATATCCCAACTATTAACCCTTACGTGATGTCTCAAAGGAGAGATGCTTCTTATAAATTAGGCCCAGGAGCGGCACCACCAATTTAGACCTCCAAGGAGTGTCCAATATGAACCTTATTAATCATCTTGAGCTTTCTATACATTTTTGTATTTCATAGTACGTATGTTTCAAGGGTTTCACGGATGGAACTCGGCCCTCCAGTTGGCATACGTGGTTTGCACCCCAGAAGAAGAGGTGGGTGCTCGTCAGGAGAGTAAGTATGCAAGACACATCAGGAGACAAGGCTCTTCACAGTGCCCCTCAAAAAATATAAAGAGTCACCATGTCCAGCCATTTATCTCTGAGAATCCAGGCTTGCTTTTAATCAGTATTAACTATGTAGCCTGCCATAAAACACGGAGTTAAAACCAATCACATTCATTCCCTGGGAGGTCCCTGAAGTCAATACCCTCAATTCTTTTCTCGAAATTCAACCCAACAGCTCTGACTTTAAGCAGCAGTCCCCAGCGCCACCAGCCAGGAGTGGTTTCTGTGCACAATGTTATCAGCACTTTCCTGTAGGGGATTTTCAATGTACTCCGGAGAATGGTGACATGCAGATTAGCTTTGAGAAAAAGAAGTTTTTAAAGCACCTTTGAACTGCAATGTCATTTTGTCACCCCTTGAGGAAACTGGCTATAAGGTGCTTGTCAAAGGCCGAATAAATTAAGTTCAAATAAGGTGACACTGTTCCCACCTGTCGGCCTGGGTGCCAGTACATTTGTTTTTGTTTTAATGAATACAAAGACATATTATGAAAGCATTCTGGAAAAATACAAAATGTGAATTTAAGTCACCATGAGAATCTGATTTTATTGTACTGATGCTTTCTCTTCCTGGACACTTCATAGTCAAAAGCTATGCAGGCCAACCTCTGATGCTGTATTTCAAAGCAGAGTAGCTTCTATGGTAGAGCATAGTCCACTCTCACAGAAGGGGGAAGTGGTCTTGCCTTGTTCTTATCAATTCCATTATCTGAATTGATCTTCCTTCCTTACTGGTTTTCTTTTTAAAAGCTATTATAGAAACAATATATATCTATCTTCTTGCTGTACTTTGATTTTTTAAGAGACAATCTCACTCTGTAGTCTAGGCGGTAGTGCCATGGTGGGATTCTAGCTCATTGCAGCCTTGAACTCTTGGGCTCAGGTAATCCTCCCATCTCAGTCTCTGGAGTAGCTAGGACTACAGGTGCACGCAACCACATCTGGCTTTTTTTTTTTTAAAGCGGAAGTTCCTCTCCACAAATAACAACTCTTGTAACTGTGGTGTGCATCCGTTCAGAATGTTCTCTCTGCCTTATATACACATGCATACAGATGTATGCACGCATATATTACTATTAAAAAACAAATTTTTGAGACCTTTATGTAGACAGAAATAATGTCCTTATTATTCTGCACCTGATTCCCATTCACAGGAGGCTGCTTTTGATTGACTTTACTGTAAACTGAATTAGAAATGATTAAAGAACCCATAGTAAAACCCTACATAGTGTAACAGTATTTTCACATTATCAAAGTATTTTCTTATGTTTTCTCATTTGATCATGATAGTCAAGTAGAATAATCATGTCTCTTTATTTCATATCTCCTGCCTCTACTTTCACTTCTCCTGAAGCAAAGACAGCAAATACTTTTTCTAAACATACTCACTCAACATCATGCACTAATTTATTCATTTGATGAACCTGGTCCAGCCCCTGCTGCAGGCCAGCTTCTTTGCCTGCTGGGGGGATCTCACAGCCCTTTCCACAGTGATTCCATTCTCCTCCTGACTTCTCAACTGTCTAGCTACGTGAGCCTGCACAAGTTTCTTCTCATTGCTCATTTCCGCACCTGCAGATGGGCATTAAGAAAACCCACCTTGCAGCCGGGTGCGGTGGCTCACGCCTGTAATCCCAGCACTTTGGGAGGCCGAGGTGGTGGATCACAAGGTCAGGAGATCCAGACCATCCTGGCCAGCATGGTGAAACCCCATCTCTACTAAAATACCAAAAATTAGCCAGGCATGGTGGCATGTGCCTGTAGTCCCAGCTACTTAGGCGGCTGAGGCAGGGGAATCGCTTGAACCCAGGAGGCGGAGGTTGCAGTGAGCCAAGATTGCGCCACCGCATTCCAGCCTGGCGACAGAGTGAGACTCCATCTCAAAAAAGAAAACCCACCTTGCAGGGGTGTAAGGAACAGATGGGACGGTCTTTGTAAAAGCCCCTAGCAAAGTGCCAGGTAAGTATCACTGGACTCAGTGACCAACCCACTCACCCTAATCCAACTCACTCAAAAGGTCTGGCTATAAAAATACTAGAAAGAAAAGAGCACAAAAGGAAATAACCATTGAGGATCACCCAACTTCCAGGTCAAACCTTCCCAGCCGCTTAACTGAATTCCTCATTAGTTATTACCAAAGGGAATGTGAATGAGCCACGAGCATATGACCTTAGTCAGAAGAGAATGACAGAAAAATTCCACGATAAAAAAAAAAAAGCAGAGCTGTAATTCTTCAAAGACAATTATAATGAGATGATGCTCAGGCTGAAACTAGTTTAAAAGGACATTTTGTCAGCTGCACCATATCCTCTGACTAGATGTTAACAATTAAAAAGCTGTTTTCATTCTAGCATAACATCTCAAGCAATTAAATAAATTGATAACTGTGCTGGCCACATTCATCTCTAAAGCCTGTGTTTCCTTGTGCCCCATGTCCCAGAAGTTTTGACATATTCATTCAACTGCTAGAAACACTGATTAAAAAAAAAAAAGAAGAAGAAGAAATATTAATGAAGACAGATCCAAGGCCAAAGGTAGCCCAGAACAATGGAAACCTCCTTCCTTTCCCGAGTTAGCAACCCTCCTGAAAGCTCCCGATCGACCTTCCCTGCACCCTGGCAGTGACGGCGGCCTGGACTCTTACCATCCGCAGCACTGAAGTACTCCGGGTTCACAGAGGCATACAGGACTCCATTCCCCAGCCTGCTGTTACTTCTGTCAAAAAGATTAAATGTAGGTTAACGAAAGGCCACCTCCATCCAATTCTGTATATGCTTTCATCTTGGTTACAACAGTTTCATTTGTTCTGTCTCGTGCAGTATCAGAAGAGAATGGGAAGAGCTTACTGTTCACAGCAGCTCTTGTCTACACTCCCAATTCAGGCCTGGGAGGCCAGTAGACACTTGCTAACACATCTTCTGGCTTCCTCAGAGGCCTCAGATTAGAGCTTTTTAAGAAACATGTTTCTTTACTTCATTGTAAATAAAAAGGCTTATTTGATTGGGACGGCTAGTACATCACATTTGGAAAAGCACGCACCAGGAGCAGTATCTGTGTACTAGAAAAGCCAGCCAGGGGAAGTTTCTGTACTATCGAAAAATTATTTTGGCCGTTGTTAAAATCATTAGCAAAGGCCAGGTGTGGTGGCTCATGCCTGTAATCTCAGCACTTTGGGAGGCTGAAGAGGGCAGATCACCTGGGGTTGGGAGTTCAAGACCAGCCTGACCAACATGGAGAAATCCCATCTCTACTAAAAATACAAAAAATTAGCTGGGCATGGTGGCACATGCCTGCAATCCCAGCTATTCAGGAGGCTGAGGCAGGAGAATCACTTGAACCCAGGAGGCAGAGGTGGCAGTGAGCCGAGATTGCACCACTGTACTCCAGCCTGGGCGACAAGAGCAGAACTCTGTCTCAAAAAGAAAAATCATTAGAAAAGGTTCTCTTTTCCTGTGAAGAACATATGATGGGAAAATCAGGTTTTCCTGTCCATAAAATATTTCCTTGAAATCTTCAGAAAGATTACCTTCACTCATACTCAAATCATCAAATCACTTAGCCACAGAAACTGTCATAACTTTGCACATCACTGACCTCTTTCTATGGAAGACGTACAGCATAATCACCAACCCTCCCACGATCAACAGGACGGCGACAGGCAGAGCGATGATCAGATGGATGAAGTTTTCATATCCCGCTGCAGCAAAGAGGAAATGATAAAATATCACCAGGTGAACAATCTGCTCATTTCATGTTTTCACATTCAGTCCAAAGTATGAAAAAAAAAAATCTGTATATTCCTTTATTCCCCATCACAGAGTAGGAATTCCTAAAGGTAAATGGTGTCAGGAATAGAAGATGGCAAACAAACAATTATTTGAAAAAAGAGTAAATATGTACAGACTGAAGCATATACTCATTTTCTAAAGTACGGTATATTCTGGGGTAATAGTTCCAATGATAGACTGAAGGAAAATCTTTGCATGCAGTTTAATGACTGTTAGTGAAGATGCATATATTTGACACTAATTTCCCAAATCCCATAGTATGTTCCAGGGTTTGGGGCCATGTCCCTGGTACCCAGTCCAGCATCTGCCATACAAGTGCTGGTTCTGATGGTAAGTGGTCTCTGTGGTCTCACACCTGTAAAAGGTCTCAGATGCTTGCAGCAGCAACACTTCTAATGAATAGAGTGAAAATTTCTATTCATTTTCATGTATAGAATGAAAATTTCTATTCCTTTTCATAAAATGAGTAGAAATTCTTATATCTAGGTATAGTGCTCAAGTTCTGCCGGCTCTTATCTTTGAGATAGTCACAGACAATTTAAGATAAACACGCACATACATGCACACGCTGGAGAGCACCCCTTTCCAATGCTGCTGCAAACATCTGAGTCCTTTTATAAGTCTAAGACCACATATGGCAAGGATTCAGAGAAGAAGGGAGAGGAGATAGGAAGTCCGGGGAAGCTCCCCAAGAAAAAACTTCTTTATGATATGCTTTCTTTCCTTTGGGGTGGTGTGGAAATGGCTTTCCTAGAAAATGAACAGCTTAGAGATCATACTAGAAAGAAGTCAGGGCCAGCTCACAAGGGATCCTGTCCAAGCTAAGCAGTTTCAACCTTATTCTTCAGATTAAAAGGAGTGAGCAAAAGGTTTCAGACTCAGCAGTGAACTAATCAGATTCGAGGTCCAGGGAAATGGCTGTGCTGAGGACAGACTATGGGACCTGGCAGTAAGAGGAGGCATTTTCATGTCTTGGAGAATTGGGGGAACCTGCCCTGTCTCCTGGGCATGCTCTGCGTTAACCAGTTCAGACTTAGAAAGAAGTCACTGATCCTTGTCTATACACCAGGCAGACTGACCGAGATGATCTGGCTTGGTAAGTCATGGCCCCAGGCTGAGGCTCATACGCTATGAGCTATCATCAAAAAAAGAAAGAAAGAAAAAAGAAAAAAATACACTATGAGCCATCATAGTGTATGAGCCTCATCCTGGGGCCATGACTTACCAAGCCAGATCATCTCCGTCCCCCAGGGCAAGTGACCTGGAGTCTGGGCTTTGGCGGTGCTGGTGGTGAGAGAGGGCTGGATTCCAGAGCCATTTAAGAGGCAGAATCCATGAGGCTTGGGTTGGAATGAAGAATGGGTGGCTGGAGAGAAAGAAGAGTGAGGGACGCTGTGAGGTTCCTGGCTTGGGTAACAAACGCATTACATGGCCATGGACCGAACTAAGGAACAAAAAAGAGAAGAGGCCTTTTGAGGGCAACAACTGTGATTCTGGTTTTGGCACAAGGAACCTGAGACCTCTATGAGACATCCAAGTACAAATGTCTATGTGGAAATGGGCTTGGAATCACTGGAGATCTAGTTAACACTAATCGTAAGTCCCCTATCAATGATGATTTTGCCATTAAAAAACATTAGCATGGTTACTCTTTAAAGGCCACTAAAGCTGTTGTAATTTTTAAAATTAAAAGTATTTTAATCAAAGATGAAAGATATTTTTAGTGATATTATCTCTTTCAAAATGGATGCAGGCTCCAGCATTTTGTACTTCCTAAAAACACTCACAGGTGATTATTGCCCAGGGGAAGCTAGCAGATTTTTCTTTCCTCCCCCTGAGGCCTATTCCTTCTGCTTGTATCACTTACACTACTGGTCAGGTTGTACTGTGTTCTTTTTGAGTTTCACATTTCAACAGGGACATGGAGAAACTGGAACACATCCAGAAGAAGAACAAAATGATTAAATGGCTGGAAAATTGGTATATGATATTGGGCCACAAGAAAAGGCCAAACGACCTGAGATTATTTCATCTGGAAAAGAGAATTCTGAGGAGTAATTTAATGGTGTTCAGGCACACAAAGAGTTCCTAAAAGGAAGGCAGTTGCCTGAAAGCTTCCAAACCTTCCATCTCCTCTGAGGATTAAATAAGAGGAAATGAGACTAAACTGGATCAGGACCGAGTCTTGTCTGACATAAAGAAAAATTTCTCAACGGAAAAGCCGGCACACAGATCCAATTTCCCTGTAGTATGTGATAACTTCTGCTGGAAAAATTCCATCGGAAGGACTCCTGATATCCCACAGGCATCCTGGCACTTACACAGTTAAAAATGGAGCAGCAGAGGCAGATAGGAGCATGCCATGTCCCTAAAACAAGCCAAGTTCACTCAACCCGAGAAGCCAAAGGTTGCTGTTTCACAGATCACAGACCCCCAAACGAGGCTCTGTTTCTAGGAAATGGAACAGCCTAAGAATTCTGTCTTGTTAATGACTTGAGCATAAACTCCCAATTCCTCAGTCTGCACCAAAGGGTGAGCACTGTGCATCTCCAATGCATATGGGGGCTTTAAAAGGGCAATGGAGGGTCTGAGATGTTCTCATGGATATTCCGGCCCTGTAGCAGGCTGAACCAGATGGCCTCTGAAGTTGTTTTACCCCTTAGGATTTCAAGCCCTGACTCTGAGCCTTATCTATCTAGCTTTACTGAGCAAGTAGGAGGTGGAACGGTCAATTCAATGTTTTGTAAAATGTCTTTCGTTTAATAAAGCAAAGGTCTTTGCACATAAGCCAGGTTGAAAGCAATGGTCTCCTCTGGCTCTCCAGTGACTGCATCACCTCAGAAGAGAGGCTCGGATCCTCTCCCTGCCTGCCACATGAGGTAGGGACCCAAAGCTCAGCATGTGCCCTGCCCAACCTGTCACACATGGTGCTGGTGTGTGTCAGCACCTTAGCATAACCCTTCTGAAAGCCGGCCACTCGACTGTAACAGAAAGTGTGAGAGCCACAAACACTCAGCCTGTCCTCATCCTGGACCAGCTCGCTTTTAGTTTTACCACATTTCTTCTCCCTCCACAAGCCTTACTTTTGGCCTGGACGTAGAAGAACACAGGCTCTGTCCACGACCCATTCCCAGAGAGAGATGTGGCCTGAATCCGGGCTGTGTAGTTCCCTGGGTTTAGCCGGTTTAGCTTGGCCCCTCCATACTTCCTGTAGTCCTGTCTGGACACACATTCTCGCTGATCCTGGGAAAATAAAACATACAAGTCAATTTCCCATAAATGCAGGAGAAATCCGGGGCCTGCCAACTGAACTCACTGCACTGGGGACTCCAGCTGCCTGATCTGACCTCCCACCTAACAATGAACCCGACTGTCAGCAAAGAGGAAGAAATCAAGCCTTAAAAGGTCATCTTCAAGTAGCTTTAAGCACACCCAAAAGCTTTAACCAAACATTTTTGTAACCAAGAACTCCAGAAGTATTAAAAGTTATTAGAGCTGATCTGGCCTATGCCACAAGGTTATCTTATACAATGAAATCGTTGCTTGAGGGCAAAGAGCAGCCTAGTGCTGTGCACACTGTGGAGTACTCCTTATGGAGTATGGCGTGGGTATAAAGGCCCAATTCCTCACCAACTTGGTGCATATTTTATTAAATCCTATGCTAACCAGGAAGTAACCTGTGCAGTAAGGTAGCGTATGCTGTCAACGGATGGAAATACATGCAGGCACGGGCCACTGCCCCAGTCCTACCTCGACTTGTGCTCCGTACTTTATTTCATACATTAGGATCAATCCATTGGGATTCTCAGGTTCTGGCCACTTTAAAAAGATGGAGTTTTCAGGCCTTGGCTCCCAGGTCACTGGCCCAGGAATATCATCTGCTCCGTCTGTACAATTTAAACAAGTGACAGAGTTGGATTTGGGTTCCCTGGGAGGGGGGCCAACACTGGGCTGACCTGAGAATAACCCCCTCATCCACGCGGGCAGGACTATGGCAGTCACGTACCCTGCCCCTGAGCGGGCTGCTCACACACAGCAGAGGAGGGTTCAGAATCACACCAACCCCACAACTTGCACGTCTCAAGATGCCACAGGATCCTCCTTTTTCCCCAGTCCCTCAACAAAAAAAACCTGTTGCCAAGCACAGCAGGAAAATCTTGGCAACCTAAGTTAAACTTTCTTCTATTCTGTGCCTACCACTTGAAAAAAGAAAGCTTTGTGAAGCCACCAAACACAAGCAGCCCTGAAGAGATGCTGAATAAGCAGAAGCAGGGCACGGGGCCCTGCCGGCTATGACAGGGACCCTCGGTGGCCCGCGGCCACACACAGAAACTGCAGTTTTCACGCAGGCACGAAGGATGGCCCAAGCCTGGCCTGGGAGGAAGCTGCTGGGAAGCTGGTGCCGAGAGCAGGGCAAGCCTCCCTGCTGGCATCAATTCCTCCAGCTGCTGGTTGACCTTGCAGTGGTTCCTCTCTTGATTTTGCTTCTTGAACCAGTAAACAATGAGGTGATAAGCAAAGGTCACGGAAAGTTACAGCTGGAAAAGGCACTGGAGGGGTCAGCTGGCTATGTCTCTCCTAGGAGGGCTAAGGAAACTGAGGCAGGGAGCCTGACGATTGCCTCAAGGCATGCTGCCATGCACTTCAGTGCTAGCACTGCTCCAGGAGGACCCCACGCCCCAGATACCCATCACCTCTGTGCTCTTTCTACCGCCTGAGGCCTCCTAAAGAAACTAGAACAAGGCAGTTCTTGTTCTGTCTTTGAAGACAACCACCTTCAATGCCCAAGTGACAGGCAATGTCTACGGACAAGGGAAAGCCAAAGACTAAGTAAGTAAGACTGGAGCCTACTCCAGGAGTTGACCTTGAGGGGCAGTGGTTACTCTGGACCAAGGCCACTAACTGGGGACATCTCTGAATATGTGAGAGCTCAGGAAGGGGCAACTCAATTTATTTGTGTACAAGAGGAGCAAAGGGCCGTGCGAGCGCACGCTGTGAACCAAGCAGCTGGCGGAGGGTGGGCCCTGCAGGGAGATCCCTGCTCCCAGCATGTTCTACGGAGAAACCAGGCTGGGAGTGGTGTCACCAGGAGAGTGAGGGCTCTGTTTCCTGGGCAGCTGGTCTACCACGCCACCTGCCAATGATCGCACACCATTTAGCAGCCAGGCCTGAGACTACGGGTCTTGGCCCTGGGTGTCAGGCCCTGTGTCCATAAAAACACATTTTCACTGGGTTGTGAGGGAGGTGGCAGTGGGGCCAGCTGGATCATACCATACCTGCAGGCATTGTCCTTGCAAAGACAAAGTTGGAGGCGCTGCAACCCAGCCTCTCAGCCTCGTGGTTGCAGCTGTGGATATCGATGCGGTACAGTGTGAAAGGCCGAAGGTTAGAAATGACAGTTCTCTCCCTGTTATCCACTCTGCTCTCAAAGAAAGGGTACTCCGTCTCGAGCTCGTCCAGGTCTGTGATGTTGTAGGTGTCAACGGCTGTGGTGTTCCTGCTCCGGCTGGACGTGCTGCTGTTGGATACCTGGATGACATCTCTCCGCTTCCTGTCAGGTCTGCAAGGAGGAGAGAAATGTGGCTTTTAAGTGCTTTTACCTCTTTCGTCTTTTCTATGACTTGAGTAAGGGTAACAGCAGCATCTTAACCATGGAATAAAGAGAGCTCTTCGGCCCCCTTGGATAAGAACTCGTGAATAACACGGGGATGTCCTTCCTCATTATCTTGCTTTCTCTACTCTGCAAGCGACAGAATGGACACACAAACTCTTGCCCCCAGCCCCTGGCTCTCAGAGTGGATCTTCGATTCTACCTAGAGGCAAACAGTGTTACCACCACGCTTGGCCAGGCAATCCTGGCTGTGTCATCAGAACACTCAGGCCATCTGGTCACAGATCTTCTGGTTAAGCATTAAAGGTGACAAACCTACCAGCGGCACTAAGATGTGTTAGGGCAGGAGGGAAGGGGTGAGGTGGTGTGGCAGAGGGCCCAGAGACCTGGTGCAGAGGGATATGAAAGCCTGTGGTGGTGGCTCCTTGCATCTGCCTGACTGTGGAAATAAAGATGCCTGGAGCCCAGCGGCAAGCAGCTCCATGGACCCCAGGGCTCTTCTCTGGGGTTCCTGCTGCAGGCCCACCCCAACCCCGAGCTGCACTTGCTACACTCCACGGGTCCCTGGAGCCCAGCCAGGCCTCCTCCCACTCAGCAGTGAGCGCCTGTGGCCTCACCAAGGTCCTGCCCATGAGAGGGCAGAGTCTTGGTCATGGACTTGAGTGGGGCTGGGAACAACTGAACAGCAAAAGGGAGTAAAATCATCACCAAAAAAAACCATTCACACCCAAAAGGGCAGATGAGGCACGAGGATGCGACCCTCCAACTGCTGCTTTGGTCAAATATGAAAAAATGGGCGTCGTGCCTCCCCCTAGAAACCGTCAAACATAATCCTAACGTTTACAGGAACCACCAAAAAAAAAAACAAACTATGAGAGGGGCATCCAGATGGAGATAGGGTAACCTTCAGGTCAGCCATGGAACCAGAGCGGGAAAACGGGGCTGAGGCCTTTGGCTAGGGTCACTGGTCTTAAGAATAGGCAAAAGGCAGGGAGCAAATGGGATGAATTCTATTTGCCCAGGGAAATAAGGGAGAAGGCCCAGAACATGAGACGCTCATCAGTGCCACGGAGAGGAGAGCGCAGCAGCAGGAGCAGAGAGGGAAAGCTCACGCAGGGAACAGAGCAACGCAGAAGCCACTAGGTTCAGCTAACGCTCGGCAGGCTTCTGGCTGGTCCTTAGGCCAGAACCTGGAAGGGGAGAGCAGGGGGCTTGGGGAAAGGGCTTCTGGCTCCCCATTCTTTTCAGCCCATGGATTCCCCTGAGGAAAACATGGTCCTTCTTTGTGTAGTGGCACATGGGGGTCCCACCAAAGGCATAAACTGCCCAGCATAGATATGCTCATTCCAACAGGCAGAAAACCACAAGGTCAGGGCATGTACATTTGCTTTCACAATACTGGGGGAGGAAGGGTAAGGACACCAGGCTGATAATCCACAATCCTCACACGCTGCAAACCAACCAACCAGCTAACCAAGCATTCCTGGAAGGGAAAAACACAAGAAACCACATTTACTGCCAGGGACATCTTTGTCAACACATCATCAACATTTCCTGCCCTCCCTTTAGGACCAGCACAGCATACACTTGTGTCTGTCAGAAGTTTCTTAGGTTTGATGCACTGCAAAATAATTCTGTGTCAAAACCCCTCTCCCAGCCCAGCCCACCCCCATTTAACTGGGATGACATCATTAAGTCTACTCAGTAGTTTGTTTATCAACACCACACTTGTAGGGATTGCATAGCTCTCAATCTTGACACCAAGGCAGCGACTAGGGGAGGGAGGTGACACAAAACATCATCTGGAAGGCAGGAATGGGGAAAGCACAATGGTCCATACATCGCTTTTTGGTAAACATTTCCAGATTGTGTGCCCAACAGCAAAAACTACTGCCAACGTTGCCTACTCCACCCCATGATGCAACCTAGTCCTACTAGAAAACCTTTTACTTTCCAACAGCTGTCAACATTTTAGCTAGTTAAACCAAACTATGCGATTAACAAAATAAAGACAGCAGTCAAAGGAAGGCATTTACCACCAAATATTGACGTCAGAAACGAATTTTACAAACTCTAGCTTTCACTCTACCTCAAAACATACAGGATATGCTGGACAATGTATAAGGAACTAAATCTGACTTAACTGGTTTTGTCCCACAGACAAATTGTTCTTAGAATGAACTGAAAAAAAATCAAACCCACTTTCGGACAATTCAGTTGTAACACAGCAAGAAGGCCTTTGTGATTCAGTCACTCTGTCAGGGGGACACTCCTTTATCTGAACTCCGCCAGAACTCAGTAGGAGGCAAAAAAACAAACATGAGCTTCTTATAAATTATGGCCTCTCACCATGGACAAAATGTTGTCTTAATATACATCCATGAAAAGAGAGAATCGCAAGTTGGACGTGTCTTAGGAGAGAGAAAGTAAGGAGTGGGGGTACAGATAAACACACTTATCAGATGGAACAGCGGAAACTTGTTTTGAACCCAGCAACACAAATGCTATGCACTAATACCATCAGTGTCAATCACAGCTCTGCCTTCACAACTCTTCATCTTGTGGTCCACATCTGATGAGGAAAAAAACAGGTCTTGCCTTGTAACTACAACTGAAAGCAAGGGGACTTTCAGCAAATTCTTTCCAAATCCTCAACTCACAACCCAAACCTCCTGCTGGTTGGTGGAACAAGATAGCAATGTAACCAATGGCCTTTGACAGAGAAAAGCAAAGTTCCTGCCCAGCCTGCTTGGAACACTCTAAATCCATCCTCCCGTGTGGCAGGCGGCAGGAGCTGCCACGAGCTGAGCCCTGCTGGTCTGGGTGCAAAGGACCATGGGGGAAGGCAATGCAATGGAGGGGAAGAGGAGGGAAAGACAGTCGGTGTGTGGGAATGAGGACCAGGTCCCAAACCAATTCTTAATTAATTAGGATGTCGAAAAGGACACCAAACCTCATTGAGTACCAGTTTCCAGACCTCTCTGCAATCTAGTCCTCACACTTTGGGCTTTCTAGGAACCACCGGTGATAAACGATCTGAATAAGAAGACAACCTTGGGCACCGAACCTCAAGGCTCACTCAAAGCCCTGCCACCTATCAGTGGGCAGAAGATGCCCCCAGTGGGGCAGGCGGGGCGGGGGACATGCGGGGCTCACAGGCCCTTTTCACAGCTCTGGTGGTTTTAACTGTGAAAGAAGGGGAGGGGAAGAAAGCCACCAGGCAATGAAGAGGTTCACTTTCAAAAGGAAATGGTGCCTCCAGTTCTAACCGGTCTTGATTTCCCACTTTGCTGATTTCTCGAAGTGAGATAGCTATTTCAACCATTTTGCAAATATCAAAAAGGTCACTTGGCAGAAAAAAAAATCACTTTAAAAACCATTTGTTGTCAAAGCCTAAGGAAGCCTTTAAGAGCAGAGTCACTGGAGAATAAACAGCCACTACAGGCTCCTCTCAGGGTCGGGGGCAGGGAGGGGAAGGGAACGTGCTGGGTGGGGTGCTGGCAGCGGGGCATCATGGACACCGTGGTGGGTGGCTCATGGGTACCATGCTGATCTAAATCCATCTCCTCAGCCTAGTTTTCAGGCATGAGGTCGGTTCCGAAACCTGCACTATTATCTTTCAGGAAGAGGGGCCATGGGACCCCACTGTACTTCCATCTCCTTTCGCAGGCATTACTGGGCTAATCCTTTTTTGAAAGGAAAAAAAAATGTTCAATATCTTTTATTGTGTTAAAATAAAATTTTAAAACAAAATAAAATATACATAAGATGGCCGGGTGTGGGGGCTCATGCCTGTAATCCCAGCACTTTGGGAGGCCAAGGCAGGTGGATCACGAGGTCAGGAGTTCAAGACCAGCCTAGCTAAGATGGTGAAACCCCGTCTCTACTAAAAATACAAAAATTAGCTGGGTGTGGTGGCGCAAGCTTGTAATCCCAGCTAATCAGGAGGCTGAGGCAGAGAACTGCTTGAACCTGGGAGGTGGAGGTTGCAGTGAGCCAAGATTGCACCACTGCACTCCAGCCTAGGTGAGTGCAACTCAAAAAATACATATATATGTAAGATAAAATTTTGCCATTTTAATCATTTTAAGGGTACAATTCAGTGGCATTAATTCCATTCACAGTATGGTACAACTATTATCATTATCTATTTCCAAAAAAATTTTCATCGCCTCAAATAGAAGATCTATCCATTATGGAATAATTCCTATTCCCCTCCCCACTCTATCCCCATGCCCTGGTAAACTCAAATCTACTTTCTGTCACCATACATTTGCCCCTTCCATATGCTTCACACAACATAAAATCGGACACTATTTGTCCTTTTATGTCTGGGCCTTGTTTCCCTTGGCATGGTGTCTTCAAGGGTCATCCATGCTGTAACACGGATCCAAATTTCCTGCCTTTTTATGGCTGAATAATATTCCACTGTATGCTTAGAGCCCATTTTGCTGAGCCGCTCATCTGCTGACGTGCGCTGGGTCGTTTCCAGATCTGGCTCCTATGAACAGCCCTGCTGTGAACACTTGCTTTCCTCTGCTGCTGTCCCACTCTGCGGAAACCAAGACCACAGCAGAGGAACAGAGTCCTTGGGGCAGAGGCTGCGTTGCTCTGAAAGGCAGAGTAGCCATGGAATAAACAGCCCCCGCGGGCTGTCTCCCTACACTGCTCCCCAAGCCTACTTGGAAAGGATGCCTGCGGCTCCTGGCTATGTTTTGAAGTCAGGCCCCTTCCAACACAGACTCTGATTATCTTCCCTCTTGCTTCACTCCTCCTCTGTCAGGCTGAGAGAGGCGGCAGAGAGAACTGGGAAGGGAAGAGATGGGCCCAAATTCTGGCTTTTCCTCTCACCAGGCAGCGGATTTCAGTACTCTGAGTTTCCAGGGCCCTCTCTGCCTCTACCACAGGGTGCCCACATGCTCTCTGTGGGGGTTGGGGCTGAGGCAGCTGCACCTGTCACACGGGTGGCCCCAGCAACCTGAGCCCTGGTCCCCGCTCCCTTCAGGGCTGACCGACTTCCGCAGGGACTCACTTCCCTGAACCTGTCATCTTTTGTGGCTCCCTCTCAGTAGCTACTGTGCCATGTCCCCAGCTGCTGACTTACACACTTCCTGGTGGGGAGAAAGGCAAGAGAACCTGCCTGAGCAGCAGCTTCTGCCAACTGAAATTTCACATGAGCTCGGTACCTGGGCACGAAGATGGAGTTGTGCAGGAAATTCTCAAAGACCTTGCGGTACTCGGCCTCCTCCTTCTCCGCCTGCTTCTCAGCTTCGGTTTTGGGGCAGGCACAGCAAGGCCCTTTCTCTGTGCCACACACCTCAGTCTTGGGGTTCTCTGTGACCTCCTCAACGTCAATGGAGCCGCCAGCATACTTCCTGATGGGGATTTTGTCTTCTCGGAAAAGAAGAAAAGCCAAAACAAGAGTGGGATGAAAGCTGTTACACATGCCTGTGAGGAAAAATCATAGCGCTCAGCACCTTTCATCAAGAAGACAGCTGGTCTTGGCTGGGCACCGTGGCTCATGCCTGTAATCCCAGCACTTTGGGAGGTCAAGGTGGGTGGATCACTTTAGGTCGGGAGTTCGAGACCAGCCTGGACAACATGGTGAAAACCCCGTCTCTACTAAAAATACAAAAATTAGCCGGGCATGATAGTGTATCTGTAATCCCAGCTACTCAGAAGGCCAAGGAATGAGAATTGCTTCAACCCAGGAGGTGGAGGTTGCAGTGAGCTGAGATCATGCCACTGCACTCCAGCCTGGGAAACACAGACTCTGTCTCAAAAAAGAAAAGAAAAAAAAAAAAAAAAAAAAAGATAGCTGGTCTCCAACAGAGGACTACACTGTTACCTGATATAGGTAATATTAGGGCTCAGGTACATTCAAACCCCGGGAAGGAACAGTCACGCCCTCGGTCCAGGCCGCTGCTACACCTACCTTTGGAGCAGTAATTGTGCCGGTAAAGGTAGCTGTCCTGAGGCTGCTGCTGCCAGCGCACGATGTAGTAACTCAGGTTGCCGTTGGGCAGAGAGGGAGGGTTCCACTTCACAATTAACTGAGAAGACGAGTTCGATGCTGAAAGCACGTCCAAGGGAATGGAAGGAACTGGAAAGGGGAACAAAGAACATTCCAGAAAATGAAATGAACTTAAGATTCAGGTTATCAGGTACTCTGTGCAAGCCACCACCAGGAAACGGCAAGTTTGACCTGGATAAAAAATAACAATGAACAATGGAATACAAAGTGAAAAGTGAACCTTATTTTGAAATAGTACTACTTTAAATGCCAGCATTTCCCTTGATAATCTATTTCCTCAGGTAATCTCTGCGAAAACAAACATTACTAAGTTGTAAATGGAAAAAGGCTGCGGAGGTACAAGCAGGGTTAGAAGAGACAATGTGAAAGTCAACAGCTAATTCAAACACCTGGTATTTCCCATTTATTATTGCTGCCATTCTCCACTGCGCTGAACTCCAGCAGTTTCGACAACAGGTAAAATAGGCTGACTTGGATTTCATCTGAGATTTCGAATCTCTGATAAAAATGTCACGAAGCCAAAAGAAAAAGGGGAGTGGAAGGGGGCTGGAGAGCCTGTGCATGTGAAGGAGTGTGTGTGCCCGTGTCCCAGCTGTGTTTAAGGGGGTGAGGCAATGCAAAGAACACGGAGTCCACCATTTCCACACACATCCTTCAGTACGCTGATGGAGGCATGACTCTGAAAAGCAGTCTAAAACTGCAAATGCATGGAAGCCTCATTCCAAGCAAAGGACTCTGTCACCAGTAGAATGAATGCTGATTATAGGCAGGGCACAGTTATCTGATCAAGTTTTAGTTATGCTGACCCCTGAACCCAAATCCAGAGCTGATGTGTGCATAGGGGTCAAATGCATCCTAGGACCACGGAAATCATATCTTTATTGGGTTTACAAAAAAAGTGTCAATGTTGACGGCTTTTCCAAAGCACAGGACACACATTCACTGTATATCACTTAAGCAACCTGTTCACCTAAGCCATTTTTAAGACCTGAAAAGGGTGGACAGCTTGAGGGTGCTCCAGGCTATACAATACACACAAGGTTCTGAACATCTTTAAGGGATGATATTTTGGAAAAAGGTTATGACTAATACTAGCGTTTTCAAAGGAAACATAACCACTTCATGCTCAGCCACTTTAGGGTTTCCAAAAATAAGGACTTCAAAAACAAACAGCTCATTCCTAGATGCATTCTTATGATAGGTGTCGCAGAAAATGCAGAGGCAGAGGACCAAGTTCTTCTCTGTGTGTAAGGACAGGGGAAAAAACGTAGTAAGTGGACTCATTTGTACAGTGCCTGGTTTCCAACTTTGTGGAAAGGCAACAGGTTTCTTGAGAATCTGTCACAATAAGCTGAGATTCCTGTTTCCCCAAACACTATAGTGAACTGCTGGGCAGGGTTACTTCCACATTTTAAGATGAAAAACTTATTCTGTCACATTGAGCCTCTGCTATACCAACCCACACCCAGGATCAGAAGCCTGTGCCAAATTTATTTTTACAAGCACGTTACCCAGTGACATGACTGTGGCCACGCACAGGATCATGGAGATGGGGTAGGAGGGGAGGAAGCAGCAGGTGTGCAGAGCAAAAGGTCCTCCCTGCCAGCATTTTCTCCTCACCTCCTCTCTGCCACTTAAACTCTTTTTGTGCTAGCTTGTGAGAATTTAAAAACATCTTACCCACTAAAATAATGGCTATTATCAAAAAATGTTTCAGTGCTATGGACTGAATGTCTGTGTCCCACCCCAAAATTCACATGTTGAAATCCTAACCCCTAAGATGACAGGATTAGGAGGCGTGGCCTTTGGGAGGTGACTGGGTCATGGGGGTGAAGCCCTCATGAATGAAATCTGGACCCTTCTATGAGAGGCCCTGAAGAGTGCTCTGGCATCACTTCCACCATGCAATGACACAATGAAAAGACTGCCATCTATGAGCCAGGGAGTGGGCCCTCACCAGACACCAAATCCGCCAGTGCCTTCATCTTGCACTCTGGAACTTCCAGAACTATGAGAAATACATTTCTATTGTTTAAAAGCCACCCAGGCTATGCTGTTTTTTTGTGACAGAAGCTCCAATGGACTAAAACAATCAGTGTCTTTAAACCTCAAGTGCATTTTCCTACTTCTGAACTAGTTTTTATATACTTGGAAAACATTTATGTTTGCTTTTATTGTTTCCAGATCTGGAGTTGAGAAATAAGGCGGTTCAGAACCTGAAGACAGAAGAAGGAAGGAGGAACATCTTCATCAGTGAAAACTTTGAATATCCACAACATACTACATCTGCCGTCTTTCAACTTTTGTTGACCTCCTTGGAACTCTACAGGCTCGGAACACCAGTGAGCTACATGAAGTAAGTGGAACACCCATCAGCATGGTTTCAGTTCCTGGAGATTGGAACATCTAAATAAACAAGAAAGAAGGGCAGCCGGAGATGACTGTTTCCTGGCTGGGCCTTCCAATGAAACCAGCCCAGCACCCTGGAGGACCTGGGCTCATAGGCACAGAGCAAGATAGAGATGATGGAAGACGGTACCAAGGCCAGAAAATGGCACGAAGAGCCTAACATATTAGAAGTGGGGAAATGGGCCAGGCATGGAGGCTTATGCCTGTAATCCCAGCACTTTGGGTGGTCGAGGTGAGCAGATCACCTGAGGTCAGGAGTTTGAGATCAGCCTGGCCAACATGGTGAAACCCCATCTCTAGTAAAAACACAAAAATGAGTTGAGTGTGGTGGCAGGTGCCTGTAGTCCCAGTTACTTTGGAGGCTGAGGCAGGAGAATCGCCTGAACTCGGGAGTCAGAGGTTGCAGTAAGCCAGGATCGCACCACTGCACTCCAGCCTAGGTAGAGACAGAGACTCCTCAAAAAAAAAAAAGAATGAATATAACACAGTATACGTATTGACAAGAAAGACAACAGGCATAGCTCACTGCTAACCCTACAACGGCACCCTGTAGAAGCAAGCCCAGTGAGCTTGTGAAGAAGGGCTTGTCTGGGCATGGATACCTGAAGCATTGGTGCGAATGTACAAGATCTCACTCTTGGCCCCACGGATATGGTCGTTCTCCACCATGGTGAGGGTTACAGCCTTGACATAAACAGCGTACTGAGTCCACGGCTTCAGCCCATGCAGTAAGACACCGGGCTCCACGTCCTTGTTCTGGGGGAGGTCTACATCCACCATGTTCCAGCTGTTGGAGCCACAGGCGTCCTGCCCATCATACTCTGTGACATTCTTAAAGGGTCTGAAAGACAATCAAGTTCAGAGAAGGTTTGGGGCTCTGACATTCAAACGCTCAAAAACCTCCCCCAGAGGCCCAGCATGTCACACGCTCTATAATGGGAGGTTTAAAGAAACAATCAATTAGACTTTGATAGAAGAAGAAAAGGAAGCGATTGAACTCTGGGCTTCCCCAGTCGTGCACTATGGACTTGAATGCTCTGCCTCAGGAAGAGCCAGTTCAACAGTTACTGGGTTTCACTAGTGACTGCTCCTTAAGAACATATGCAAATACTATTTTTCTCTCTTCTGACTGCAGCATTTTTTCATCATTAACAAAAAACAAGCACAGTCAGTTAATGCAAATATCAGATACTGATAAAAGGTAACTGTTGGAGAAAGAATGACTTTCCTACAAACAGAAGTAGCCTCTAAAATTCAAATTGCTCATACACAATTCTGATGCTTAAGCATCTTATAATATTCAAATATTTAGTTTCCAGATTGCCTTAGAAACTAGCTTCAAGTCCTTAGTGAAATTACCAGCTGACATTGCCAAAGCATTGGTGTGACTATCAAAGGGAATATAGTATTTTACACAGATGCATGGTTGGGTAGATGTTTTACATTTATCAGATAAAAGGGCTGGGCAGCTGCTGGCCACTGGCTTTGGAAACAAACATTAACAAAACCCTACCTGCTACCATGATGGGAGGTCAGGAGGGGCTCCCCTATGTACAAATCCTGAAAGCCTAGTAATCCTAATACCCCATTTCTCATCCATAGGACCCCAGCTCTGGCAGAAGAAAGAGTACAAGATGCCGTCATAAGGTGCCTCTGCTTTCTGCTCTTGGGAAGTCATGTACCTGGCTTCCCAAGAGCAGAACTACGGGATTAAGATGGGACCCGGGTAAGGGGGATGGCTAAGTAGACCGGGGCAGCCACCTGGATACAGGAGGCAAAGGAAGGAAGAGGAAGAACAGAGAGAGCTGCAGTAGGAAAGAATAAGCCTTGGCTGCTTAGGTGGGTGAATGTCATGTGGTCGCACAAGGAAAGCTCCCAACAGAGTCTGGGAGAATTCACAAAAGGCTCAAGACTTGAAGGCTGTTCTCTCTCCACTTTTCTTCGCTTGTTTGGAAGGCTCATGACCTGGAGCAGAGGGCCTCAGCTTGGGAGAGGCACATAGAGAGAGAGACAGGAATAAGATGAGCCATGGGTCACCTCAGGAGAGCCATGTGGCTGCAGGGTGTTCCTGGAGTAGGGCTAGTGGGTAAGGAGGCTGAAACAATATTTCAGTGAAGTCCCCCATCATCAATTATGAGTCTGGTCTGACCTAATTCTGGAAAAAACAAGCTTTCTCCGCTTTGGGTTTATTTTATTCAAACATCTCTAATCACTTAGTAAAGAATGATAGGCCTCAAAGCTAACACTTTCCCATTTGTGGCTGTCACTGGCTGTGACTCACATCACGGGGACAGCCCAGGAGGGCGCATGAGATGAAGTGGGGATGCTTGGCATGGCTTTCCCTGGGGACCCTGCTGACTCCCCGCATTCAACCAACCCATGCAAGGACCAAAAGACTGGCCTCTCCCACTCGCAGCCTTGTCAACAGAATGGCATCACCCAAAGCAGAAACTCACGCTTCCTTGTAGAAGACAGTGAAACTGATGAGATCCCTATAGTCCGGGGGCCGGTACCGGTGCCAGGTTATGATGACGCGATTCTTCCACGTGGTGGTGGAGGTGAAATGCAGGACATCACTTTCACCTGGAGCACAGAGGACATCCATGAGTGACGGAGATTTATGTGTCTCTGAAAAGCACCTGTCTTGCTCAGCACTACTTCCCCCTTCCCCAAAGCTGGTTATATGTGCCAAGTTCCCTTCTGGACTTCATAGGTGGCTTTCTCATTTTCCACTAAGAATCCATACATTTCACTACACAGAGCTCCAAGGGTTCCATTCTTTGTTTCGGGTCAATCAGTTGCACTGGCTACTTGCCCAGGGCCCTGGACATGAGCCTGGGTTTTCTAACCTGAAAACAGAGAGTGACTTCAGTGAACGACGTGAACTTATCTTTCTTTTCCATCCCTAAGATCCTGGCTACGAAAGGTGGCCTGGTAGAGTAAGGGTGAACCTTTAGGCTGCCCTGAATCTTCTCAGAGAGATGATGGCACCTGTTCTGCAGTTGAGGGTATCTGCTTGCTCCTGTACAACCAGTAAAGACAGGGAAGAGACCGCAGGTGTGCCACAGAGAGGAACTTTTCTTGGTCTAAAGTTGGTATCTAACTGGAAAGACACAGGAACTCCTGTGAGGCCTCCAGTGAAGGCTGACAAACAGCAGGGTGGGGGGCATGAGCAGGGGCTGGATTAAGCAACAACAAAAAGATTTCACTTGGACAAGCCTAATGTGCTCTATATGAAATCGACCTGGCTGGTAAGTATGGCAGGGAAGCTGTGCCAAGTCCCTCTCTTATTCCTTGGACCAAATTCAAACTTTGATAAGGACCAGGAAAAGACTGATGACTGCCTACCCTTGTGGAGACCCAAAGCTCTCTGACGAGCTGTCCTTTCGCCACCATATCTGCCTGAATCCCACTACGCACTCAAGAGGCGAAGCAGAGAGACGGAAGACAGGAAAAGAGCTAAGAAGTCTTTAGGGCAAAATGTGCGCAACTGAGATTGGAAAATGTCACAGTTCCTGCGGAAGCATTATTTCCAAAGGAAACCATGATTTTGCTTTCAAAAGAAAATAAATGGCTATTGTATTTATGACCTGACAGGTCAGACTGGCTAACTTGAAGGAGAAAAGCCCTCTAAAATGCTCTGACACGTCCGCTTTTACTATGGTCTGAACAGGGGGCAAGGAAGGGGCTTTGCAGGGACAGAGTGGGCAGGGGGAGGGAGGCGGCGGTGGCCGTAAGCCTGCTGTCCAGCCCTCGGCCAGCATGCTTCCCTCTAAGATCCCCCAGAGCAACGAATGTCACCAGGTAAATCCAGACACAAGCAAAACAGGCGAAAGCCAAGCGCACATCAGCTCCAATTTGCCTTCCTGCATGTGTGTCTGTGCGCACACACGCACCAATCACTCTTCATCATACAAATTACATTTTTCTAATACCTTTCCCTTATTAAAAGCCAAAGGTGAAGAGACGATTTACTTTTATAACCCTATCCAACCAGAGAGCCGCATCATTCTCAGCAGTTGTATTCTACACAGGGTTAGATGAGAAACGCATTCACTGCCGTATCTCTGGTAAGAGACCTTAAAGTTTTATAACCAGTACAAGGCAGTACTTATATTGTTCTAAATTTAAAAAGCATTATCGACTCAGGGATGCAGGCTTGCTCCATCTTTTTCACATTGAGGTGGGAGAAAAGAGGAGGCTGAGTGTAAGGGACAGGATACCCATGGCCCACAGGGGCTCAGAGTCCCCTCCACCCCACAGGCCTGGACTTTCCTGCTGTGGAAGGGGGAAGATAAAGCTCACAGGGCTGAAGCACACTGGCTCTTTCCTGAAAAATAATTGGACCAGGCATGGTGGCTGATGCCTATAATCCCAGCACTTTGGGAGACTGAGGCAGGTGGATCACTTGAGGTCAGGAGTTTGAGACCAGCCTGGCCAACAAGGTGAAACCGTGTCTCTACTAAAAATACAAAAATTAGCTGGGCATGATGGTGGGTGTCTGTAATCCCAGCTACTCAGGAGGCTGAGGCATGAGAATCGCTTGAACCCAGGAGTTGGGAGGTTACAGTGAGCCAAGATCATGCCATTGCTCCCCAGCCTGAGTGACAAAGCAAGAGTCCATTTCAAAGAAAAAAAAGAGAAATAATCTAACCGTGCACCTGTGTATAAAATCACATTTAATTGTGCATCCTGTAAGCAGCCTTCACAGTTTGAGAACCTACTTATCAGTGTTGAACACACTCACACAGATGCACAGAATTTATAAACATGCATACATCATGCATCTGCCCACTACTGATTTTGAAGACATGTAAGTAGGAGCTAAGTGCTAGCTAAGGTGATCCAGTGGTCCCCCAGGTGAAACACAGAGGGGCCACAGAGGAAAGCTGCAGTCACACAGGGAGGTGGGCCTGCTGTGATCATGACGGTGGGGCCCACAGTGTTTTGGATGCTGTCACTCACAGGAGGCTCTCTCTCCATTGTTCCTGGTGTTTATGTCCCCTTTGTTTTGGCGCCCTTTAGTCCCCGTCACTTCTTCCATGCGGTAAATTTCGGAAACACATAATTTGGGATTGAAAGCAAAGTACATCTTCCCTGAACGGATGGTCAGGTTCTGGTGGTCCCAGTCCCATAGTTGCTGCAAATTCTGGTTGTCGAGGACATAGAAGGAGTAATTCCTGGAAGCACAGAAATCGATGTTAGTGCACCTGCCCTTGGCCACAGTCCCCTCTGGCCTGCTGGCCACATAACACAGGTCCTCTTTGTAACCTGCTCCACAATGCATTTCCTTTGCCAATACGAGGTTTGGTTATTAACACTATAGGAGAACAGATAATTGTTGTTAACAATGGCAACAGCATGATTCAAGGACAACATATCGAAATCGATAAGACGCTAATTAATTTTATGACCTCTATTACCATCAACGAATGCTTCTTGTACCAGAAGATGTTACTAGAATCATTCCCGAGGAATGCCTTTGGTTATTTTTCTCAGCCAAGTATGCACAACGTGCTTGACAGCAGTGCATGGGAGGACAGATATGCTCCGCTACCCAGCTGGAGCAGCTTACACATTTGCTGTAAAGTCTCCCATTATCCATGGAAGCGAATCCTGCCCAGGCCCAATCAGCAGCATGATGGGATAGGAGACAGCATGTGACAGGGAGACAGTCTTGTCGGGGGTCAACCCTGGGCCTTCTCCCTCCTCCCGATTCATCTTTCACTCTGAGGAGCCCCAGCTCCAGTCCCTGGAGAAGGTGCAGGGGAGGAGGAACAGCCGCCAATGGGCAGTGCCCTCGGGCCTCCCATGCAGGCAAGAGGACTCGGTGTCCAACACAGTGGTTCTCCAAGTTCAGTGTGCACAAAGCTTGTTTACAAAGTGCTAGGCTCCATCCCCAGAGCTTCTGATTCGGCTGGGGTGGTCTGAGAATCTGCATTTATCACAAATGCTAGGTGGTGCTGACCTCTGCTGTGGTCCCCAGACCACATGTGGAGAACCACCAATCTAGGAGAGGCTGAGTTCCAGTGAGGTGCTGGAGGACCAAAGCCCACCAAACCAGATGTGGCTTCTGCCCCAGAGGGTGTGCACACAAGCAGCAGATCCAACCAGCACAGGAAACAGTTCTGTGTGGCTCCCCAAGTGGCAGAAACCCCCATCCCTGGGGAGGCAAGAAAGCAGACAGCTACAGCTTGGGTCTGGAGAAAGATCCCCACAGTGGGCCTTTCTCTCTGGCATCCCTAGGAAGCCAGCAGACAACGCCAGGGTGGGCAGTCTGAGTCCTCTGTGCTGATGGGCCTGATCTCCATGGACCAGGGATCCCTCCTTTCCTCTTCCTGCTCTGCTTCTTACTAAGTTTAGGCATCAGTGCAATACTTTGAGTGACTGCTAAGATTCACTAGCAGATCTAATGCATAAACACACAAAGGAAAACAGACCTCAGCCCTCCCTGCAGAGCCAGGACAAAACAGAACCCCTAAGCCTTTCTCTGTCCCAGAGGCTGTGTCCGTTGGGGATCTCTCTGTACCTGGTGAGGGTCTTCATTTACACCCAAACCAGGACCTCTAACCAGCTGGTCAATCCTCAGCCTGACCCTCATTTAGAGTGAAGCACATCATGGCTGCAATGCTGCCAAGCAGCCCTGTGACATTTTCCTGAACATTCACAAAGGGAGGTCAGCACGGAGGGAGTTCAGAGACTGGGACCCGGCACCAAAAATGCCATCAATGAGCTGTGCAGCCATGTGCAGGCCCCTTAGTGCTATTTGTAGCCCTGTTTACTCCCTCGTAGGACAACCAGGGGAATGCACAGTTGACATCTAAGCTCCCTGTCTACTTTCAGAATGCCCAGGAGTCGCAGAGCTGCCACGGAATCCATCCCGTGAGCCTGAAGCCCAGCCTTCCCTGAGCACTGGGCTCTCTGTCCACACAAGTGCTGGGGGTGGAGGTGGGAGTCCTGGCAGCACAGGGGTGCAGTGAACACGCAAGTGAGGTGAAAGGCAGAGCCTCTGAAGCTAAGTCAAGCTCCTCACAAGCCCATCTTTAGGCCTCTGGACACATTAGCAGCCACCAAACCAGTAGCAAAAACTTGTGAGTCAACAATCCTTTCTTTTCAGTGAGGGCTCATTCCCGAACACACAGATACCCTGGAAAAGCAGCGTAAGATATTGTCCAAATGACCCTAGATCTGCTCAATGCAATGCAAGGCGTGTTTCCGGGGGTTGGTGGCGGTGGGGGGCAGTGCTGAGATATGGCCCTGTTAGCTCTACTGTTGCTGCGGGTAGGCCCCTCTACACCTGCTCTTTCCCAGTGCCAGGCTGCAGGTGACTCTGCTGGAGGTCAGAAGGGCTCCGTGCAGTCATATAGCTGAAGGAGGGATGGGACAGAAATGGATGTGTCCTATCACAAACCCATTCTTGCTCATGGAGTTTCTCCAACTACAAAAGATACTTTGCAGTGATGCATCCCAAGTGTCAGGCCACTTCCAGGTACTTGAGTTAGCGTTAGGGGACAAAACCTCATTGGTGAGGAAACCTCTGGGCTGCTGGTAAGGACCAATTAATCAGGCCACACTTCTATCTATGTCCAGAACGAGGCCTCTTTCAGTAAACTAACTTCACTAGCAGGGAACAGAACCACACTGAAAATACCTTCTGAACAAAACATTCTTCTCCCCATGGGAGGAAGCATGAATTATAAATCAGGAATTTGACAAATGAATGGCAAGCATACTGAAATTCTGTGTATTTGATTAATCACCTTGAAAAGCAAGATTATCGTTTTATAGTAAACACAAACATTTTTTACAATCATTGAAGAGGCTGGGAGCCAGGATACCAATATCAATAAAACCCAGGCATCATGGAGCCTGTGGAAGCTAAAGAAAAATAAAAATAAAACTCTTGTCAAAATAATCATCAAGCCATTCATGAGCTGCCTGTCAATACCATGCTTGTTTTTCCAGCCGCAGCTTGGGGCCAGGTTCCCCGCTACATTCCTTCTATGATTAGGTGAGAATTAAGAGATGGTAAAAGGCAGAGACCTGTCTACACATCTTCAAAATATGTATACACTAAAGTTATCATTGTTTCCTAAAGGAAATGACTACTTAGATAAATCACTCAGTAAATGTGATTTCCAAATTGTTTCTAAGCTCACTGCCTTTACATTCAAGAAATACTTTTAAAAATAAAGTTTTTTTTTCTTTGTTTGTTGAGACATGGTCTCACTCTCTCACTCAGGCCAGAGTCCAGCAGCGCAATGACAGATCACTGAAGCCTCGACCTCCCAAGCTCAAGCTACTCTCCTACCTCAGACCCCCAAGTAGCTGGGACCACAGGTATGTTCCCACCATGCTCAGTTAATGTTTTTGTTTTTTGTTTTTTTGTTTGTTTGTTTTTAAGAGATGGGATCTCACTATGTTGCCCTGGTTGGTCTTGAACTCCTGGACTCAAGCAGTCCCTGGCCTCAGTTTTCCAAAGTGCTAGGATTACAGTTGTGAGCCACTGTACCTGACCAATTACTTGTTTTTCTTTAGCTTCCATATGCTCTATGATATCCAGATTTTATTGATATTGGTATCCTGGTTCTCAGCCTTACTATGTTGTAAAAGAAAAAAACAAAAAAACAAAAAAGTTTGTTTCTACACTTGGCTAGGCCTTATTTCCCAATCGGGCCCACACGGGATGGGAGCAGTTAGTTATCTTCCTGAGGGCATCTCTATGTTATCTCTATAGACATTTGAAGATAGCCCCAGGTGCAGGGTTCACAGCATTCCATCCGGGAACCCAAAGGTCAGGTCTGAGCCTCATCTGCAGTACTTACTGAGGAACAACTCTGGGCAAAAGATGTATTATTCATCTCTCCCAGGCTGCAGTTTCTCAGCTACAAACTGGGGATGTCTTCCCTGCTTTTCTGGCCCTGAGGCCACACAGAAGAATTGGATAGGCTAAACATAAAAGGATACCTTGAGCTTTTCATCACCCCACAAAAGTGCAGGATGACCTGTGCTACTCTCTGAAGTGAGAAAGTCCCCTGGAACAAAGTCTCAGAACAGAAAGGTCCTGGGCCTTGATAAACGGAGCTGAACCCGAGGTCTCCAGCCTACAGAGGTAGGAAGGGACAGTTTCCCTATTTTTAGTGCTTGCTGACATATTGAAAACAATTCTGCAATTATACAACCACTCATTCCAGTTCCTTTCTCAGAAGAGAAAATTGCCTCTTCACGGCTGTCTCTAGGGGGCATCAGAACCCAGCACACAGGCTGTCGTCAGCAGCAGGGCCATCTGCAACTGATAGAGTGGCCTTTGTTGCCTTTCTGCAGATGCTCCCACCAACCCATTCGCAAACAGGCTGGTTTATATTACATCCATTCTCCCCCAAATACAACACTTACATCAACCTTAGGGATTCACCAAGGGTGGGAATATCTACCCAGGTGGAACCAGGCGTCATACAGATACCCAGAAAATGTTTCCTCTTTGTTAGGTGTTTCTTAAAAATAGCTTGGCTTCTGAAGTATAATCTACTTATCAAAAATTTCAGTAAATTCACACAACTGTGCAACCATCAACACTACTCAGTTTCAGAACATTTCCATCACCCAAGAGTTCCCTCACTCCCAATGATTGTCAATCTCCACTTCTTATCCCTGGTCTGCTTTCTGTCTCCATAGTTTTGCCTTTTCTGCAAATTACATGTTAATGTGTCATACAATACATAGGCTTTTGTGTCTGGATTTTTTATTTTCACTTAGCCTAATGTTTTAGAGGTTCACCCCTGTGTCATACTTCATGCCTTTTTTGTTACATGTGTCATACTTCACGCCTTTTTATTGTTGAGTAGTCAGTCGTCCTTTGGGCCACATTTTGTTTATCCATTTATCTGTTTATCCATTCATCTGTTGATTAACATTTGAATGGTTTCCAGTGGGCCTTGTTTTTGGCCTGGAGGTTGGGGGAGGGCAGGCTATTATGAGTAATATTGCTATGAACATTCATCATACACAAGTCTTGTGTGGACATGTCTTCATTTCTCTTGGGGAGATCCTGGAATTGCTGGGTCACAGGGTTGAGTGTATATTATCAAAAAGTCCCAGTGAAATGTTAAGAGTGGCCATGTTTCAGCCTCACCTCAGAGCTCCAAGAAGGAATTCCAAAGCACTGTGTGTGTTGCAAAGTCAGGTGGTAGGGACCAAAGCAGAGCAACGTCTAAGTTGACCTGCGAATTTCAATTTTTTTAACTCACCACCCTCCGTCTACTTTTTCCTTCTTCTTTTCAAGGCAACAATCCTTGGTAGTGCCAAAGAAATGTGAAATGTTAACTCCTTAGTTATCGGATGCCATGAGGGAACAAGGTTGTCCAAACAAGGGGATTTTCCAGATAGTGGAAATATTCTCTTATTCAAGAGCTTAAAAATTAGCTATTTTATAAAAATCGTGTACATGTGGATTACAAAACCTGTTTCCTTTGTAAACAGCAGAAAGGCCTTGACTGTCTTAATGTTTAGGGTCATTACTCTAGAAATACACCCCAGTGGTGTCCTTGAGGAAACCACAGCTATTGCTTTTGCAAGTGGGTTACCAAATCAGCTCACACTGAGTGTGATATAAAAGTAAACCAGCTCTGAGTGAGGAGTAAGAGCTGTACTCTAGGTAAAATGCTTGAATTTTCTGTTTTGGATGGCTCAAAAGACCTTTTTTTGAGAGGGATCTCAGTGACATTTTGGAAAGCCACGGTTGCCAGAGTTGAAGGATCTTTGTACCTTGAATTGTTCTATTCGCCATCAAAAACAAAAGGCTGCAGAACTTTCATCCTATTGAACCAAATGGAGACACTTATTTATGTTATCATTGACTATAAAAGAGGTTTAAGAAGGCCAGGCACGGCAGCTCATGCCTGTAATCCCAGCACTTTGGGAGGCTGAAACGGGTGGATCACGAGGTTAGGAGTGCAAGACCAGCCTGACCAATATGGTGAAACCCTGTCTCTACTAAAAATACAAAAATTAGCTGGGAGTGGTGGTGTGCACCTGTAATCCCAGCTACTTGGGGAGGCTGAGGCAGGAGAATCGCTTGAACCCAGGAGGCACAGGTTGCAATGAGCCGAGATCACGCCACTGCACTCCAGCCTGGGCAACAAGAGCTAAACTCTGTCTCAAAAAAAAAAAAAAAAGAGGTTCAAGAAAATAGTATGACATATGTAACAACATGGGTGAACCTCTAAAACATTAGGCAGCAGTGTGAGGAGAAAATAGGAAAAAAACCATCAAAGTGCTTTGAGGTTTGCACATGAAGAAATGAAGGGATAAAGCAGTGGTTTCCAATCACTGCTGCCTGCTGAAGGGCCTAGGGATCTTTAGATGAGCACTGATGCCCAGATCCTAGCCCCAAACACTCCTATTGAATTGGGGTCGGGGTGCCTCCTTGGACATCAGGATTTCTCAACCCCAGCCCTGCCCACACCGCCAATGATCCCATAATGTGTAGCAAAGTTTGAGAAACACTGGGATAAAAGCTATCTTGGCTTAAACCAAAGCATACCGGAATAAAAACTGCAGACAGCTCTGCTAACGCTCCTCTATTCAAAAGCCTTGAATACATTCCATGGTCTACCTAAATTATAACCCTCTACACCTGGGTGCACAACAGCTTAGGTAACTCTAGTGCCACCCACCTCTCCAGCATTAGTTGCCCAACAGGCCCCAGGATGCCCCAACTCGTTGCCTTTGTACCTGCCACCCTACCTGGAATTGCCTTTCTTCACTTCAACCCTCTGCATTCCCCAAGCTTTTCCTGAAAGCCTTCAAGGCCTATCTCAAATGCCACCTCTTGTCAGAAGCCTGTCTGATCTTCTCAGTCAGATATCTGGCTCTTCTCCATGCCTAGGGCACATTTCTTTCTTTCCCTTGTATCACTGTGCCAGCTCTGCTTTGCGCTGCTGATGTTTATCTGTCTAGTGTATCCCATCTTTCTCTTTCTCCCTCTGAATCTTCCCTCCTTGCAGAAGTGAGTGCAGCCAGTGAAGGAGCCAGACCTAACTCTGTCCCTGAGTCTAAGGAGAAATGAAGAGCTGAGCTGCTGCTACTGGTCACACCTGAAGCAAACAGGGCTCTTGGGGAGCTCATCATCATGAAGACGGGCTATACCTTTTTGGTCATGGGCCAGGAAGGCAGGGTGAGAGAAAACAGCTCCCATCAAGAGGTGAAAGATTCTTAAGAGCCCTAACTCAAGAGAGAGCCTCCGAGAAGCAGCATGCAGGAATGGAAGGCTGGAGCCAACATTCTTGGGGCTGCTGGGCTACTAGGGAGCAGCAGCAGGGAACACCCAAGGCTCACTTTCCCTTCCCCTGGAGGCCAGGGGCCCAAGCTTACCTGGGAAGCCTCCCAAACACCTGAGTGGAAAGCATGCATCCTTAAAAAGACTTTGCTGATACTTCAGGTTTTATGCAAGTTTCAGATAATGAGAAAGACATCATAAATATTTTTGTAAATACAAATCAGGCTTTAATTTCTAGCTACATTTCAGTGCATAATACTTAGTTGACACTCCATGAAAAGGTAATCTTACAATAATTCCTAATAGAAATTAATTAAACTCTCCTCTCAGCACTCACCTCTATGTCTATCATTTGCTTAGTATGGAAAAAAAAGGTATATCCTTAAGCAACAGGAATATTTGACAGCTACTAATCACAGATACCCAGGATTCCAGAAACACAAACCTACTTAGAAAAAAAAAAAGAGCGGAGAAAAAAATTCATTTAAAAATTTAATACAACAAACATCATCATCACCTTAAAGTGGTAGTGCCTCAGCTTGCCAGGTAAGTGGCTGAGAGGCTAGGGCTGGGTGCAGTGGCACCCTCCTTCGGTTTGCAATGAGAAAGAAGTTTTTCAAGGATTGGTGTTCCCAGTGGGGAGGACACTGTGCTTTTCAAGCATGGAATGAAGAGCTGCCACCTCTCCTTAGCTGTATCAGATGATGGAATTTTAAGAATTTAAGACTGACCAAGAATTCGTCTGAGAAAAACAGGGAGGCTATAAAGAAACCCTTATGCAGTAACTTTATCCAGTTGGGGCAGATAAATCAGCGAGGACAACCTTTCCCATGACCTTCTCGCCTCAAATTATTTCCCCAAATTCTCTTTAGAACGAATTCACTCCTTAATTGATAACTCCTTTTATTTCAAAGCATTCGCTTAAAGTCAGGCCAGAGACGTATTTAAAAGGGAGCGTTTCAAGAGAAAAGTCCATATGCAAAAGTACACAGGCTGGCGGCTGGAAAGCAATTGTGCACGCAATGAGCACCAGCTTCTATCCTCCAGTGAAAAGCCCACGGTTATTTTAAACACCGTATCACAAAGCGGGCCTGTGCCAAGGCAAAAATTCTATCAATAGCTCAAATCCTATAAACTAATCAATACAAACAATCTTGTGAATCCAGATTTCTTTGTAACAAAACAAACCATCCACGTGCCTCCAACGCTCTCAGTTCAAATACTTTAAAAGATGGAGTAGCTGTGCATAGTGGAGTACAGCATCCGGAGGCAGATGAGGGTCAGGCAAACGATGATTTCACAGGGAGATGAGCACTCCAGACCAACTGCTGTCACCTTGGCAGAAAAGCCCCACAAGTACCCCCGCTGCCGTCTCACTGGTCACAGTCAGACACGCAACCCCTGCCTAATGAGGCACAATGCAGTAAGTGTGAGAACCTCTCTGTTTTCCAAAACAGCAGCCTTCTAAGAACAGAGAATCATGACTCTACCCAAGACCCACTGGAGCAGCACGGGCAACACCGCAGCTGCTTCTTCTATTTAACAAGGCAGGGAGGGCTCTTACCACAGCAATACAATTCTACAAGCACGCTGCTCACTTCATAATAGGAGAACGTCCACTCATTAAATGTGGGGCACTTACCCTTCTAGCTGGTCCTCTCCTAAGATGAGGCGAAGGTTTTTTAGGAAGGACAAGGAGACCAAGGCATGGGAATGGCGGATCTTCACGTAGCCCGTCACCACCTCGATGAGTCCCATGAAGTTCTCCAGTTCTGAAGCAATGTTATCTACATTGAAAGGGGGTCGTGTCACTGCGTGCTCACTTGGTGTGAGGGTGACATACTTGGATTCTTACAAACACATGTGAGAACAACTCAATGGCAGGTGCCCCTGAGATGCTCAGGCTCCCGGCACAGGACTGGCCATTCCCGGACAAAAACAGCTTCCCTGGCTTGACTCTCAACAACCACTCTGGGAACAAGGCCTCCCACGTAGGGGAAGCAAGTTTCTAGGAGGCTGGTGGATACTGCAGCTCCCAAGCTGATTAATGAAATGTAAAATCAGGCCGGGTGTGGTGGCTCACCACTTGTAATCCCAGCACTTTGGGAGGCAAAGGCCAGCAAATCACGAGGTCAGGAGTTCAAGATCAGCCTGCCCAATATGGTGAAACCCCGTTTCTACTAAAAAATACAAAAATTAGCCAGGCGTGGTGGCACACACCTTTGGTTCCAGCTACTCAGGAGACTGAGGGAGGAGAATCGCCTGAACCTGGGAGGCGGAGGTTGCAGTGAGCGGAGATTATGCCACTGCACTCTAGCCTGGGCGACGCAGCGAGATTCCGTCTCAAACAAAAAAAAAAAGTAAAATCATAAATACAAGATTGCCAGTTAGCTAAGGCCGACAAATGTAGGGAACGTCTTTTAATATGCTCTGTCAACAGACAGTATGGCCTCCACAGTACAAGGGCACGGCTAAATCAACATTTTCTCCGTCTCATTAGGAACTGCCTTTGCTGCCTTTATAATTCCTAAGATACAGGGGTCTATATTTAAAGGTGCCTTTTTACTACAACTAGAAGAAAATATACCAAAATGTTAACAATAGCTATCTGTGGGTGATTTTTAAAAATTCTTTTCTGCATTGCTAAGTTCTCTGTAATATGTATGTATTGCTTTTAAAACTAGAAAGTAGTTGGAAAAATAGTTGCTAATACAGATGTACAAACATAATATGTAAGCAACAGGTTTCCTTTCATCTTGTTTAGGCTACCTTTTTCTCATAGTAAATAAAAAAAATTCAGTTCAACTAATGCCAAAATTATAATGAAGACTATAATAACTGAGGTTGGTTCAATTAATGAGATTTTACTGTATATGATTTCTAAAGATGTGTTTAATAAAAGGCTCCATTTTGCTTTGAACTGATAAAAATAAAATAATAAGGGTACTAAAGGATAAAGCCCTACATCTAATTTAATTTAATGGCTTTCCAATAAAAATTAAAGGGAAATTCAAGTTAGAAAGATGAGAGGTTGTGTGCAGCTGATGTTTTAAGGAAGAGATCCTGAATTTTAAACATGGGGCAGGAAGCATGCCTCTTAGTCAAGATCAGGAAATCTCCCCTCTAATGAGATCTCTCATCTTCCCAAATCCAATCTATTTCCTGCATTGGACATAAACCGGAAGACACACTTCATCATCATGTATGAATATGTACCAGTTCTTTCAGAAATGATACTTCTCCATGGATTTAATTCACAGATTAAAATTTTATCTTCAGGACAAGAAGATAAAAGGGTTTAGGCACTCGAAAGGTATGCTCTAGGGATAAGCAAATTAAAAGTAGAAGAGGAAATGCAGACACAGCAAAAAGAATTAAACTTCGGAAGTACCATGAGAGTAAGGAAGCCCTAGAGAGGAAGGAACACAATTATCCTCATTGTGGAGAGATGAGAGTGGGTGGTGTTGTGAAAAACAATATGAGATATCAAAGAATTCAGAAGAACTAAGCAAAAACTTGTTTCTGTCCTTTCTAAACCTTAAGAATACAATTTAACAAATATGAAGGAAAAGCAAATTATCAGAATAAATTAGTCATTTTCCCCCTCAAACTGTAAAAAAATTCTTCATGAAAAGATTTCCCCAAAAAATTCCTGTCAACCTCAAAGCCTTTTTACTCTATTTATTCTAGCTTATAAAACTATTAGTACCTTGACCAAGTGATTCCAGTGGCAGGGAATTTAAGGCACTGTTATTAGAAGCCCTTGGCAATTAAAAATCAGAAGTGAAAAGATTTTTAAAATTAGCCATGGCTGGACATTGTGGCGCGTGCCTGTAATCCCAGCACTCTGGGAGGCCAAGGTGGGTGGATCACAACATCAAGAGATCGAGATCATCATGGCTGATATGGTGAAACCCCGTCTCTACAAAAATACAAAAATTAGCTGGGTGTAGTGGCACACACCTGTAGTCCCAGCTACTCGGGAGCTAAGGCAGGAGAATCACTTGAATCTGGGAGGCCGAGGTTGCAGTGAGCCGAGATCATGCCACTGCACTCCAGCCTGGGTGACAGAGCAAGATTTTGCTTAAAAAAAAAAAAAAAATAGCCAGGCATGGTGGTGAGTGCCTGTGGTCCCAGCAACATGGGAAGCTGAGGCAGATGGACTGTTTGAGACCAGGAGTTCCAGGTTACAGTGAGCTATGGCTGTGCCATTGGACTCTAGCCTGGGTAACACAGTGAGACCGTGTCTCAAAAAAAAACCCCAAAAAACCCACACAAAAAAACCAAAGAAGTGAAGAGATCACAGGCTAAGTCAGTGGGAAACCCTTTGCACAATCCAGCTTAGAAGCAACTTACCAGGAATGCCATCTACTGCAAATAAAGATAATTGTACACAGGTGAGACTGAAGCTTTATGTACACAATGACACATACTTCTATCCTTTGTCTCTCACAAGTAAATTTTAACGTGATATCACTAAACTGCCCTCAGTCTTCTCACTAAATTCAAGTAATCAAAACTCTTTAGGCTTGAAAGATGTGTGGATTTAGATACATCTGGTCTCTGCTGAGTCACACCTCTGATCCAACTGTCTCTTCTGGGATATGTATGTGTCACGGCTTGCCTCTCCTATGCATGATGTGACTAACAGAAAGATGAGTGATGACCCTCTTTACAGGAAGAAAGGATGTGCCAATGGCTAAAAAACACTGCCTTTCGATCTGTTTTTATCTTTGAGGAGAAACTCAAAGAAGAGACGTCATGCATGAGGCTTATACACCACGTTGTTTAAGCCCATATTTTAGTGGTGACTCAGGTTCGGGAGCATGAAAACCATCAACAAAAGAAAGCCATAAGATCTAGCCATTCTTCCAGTGGGATGGAATACTTACTCCCTCGTCGGATGTTAATGAGCAAATTGCCCTTGAAGATGGTACATCCTTGAAGCATCTGAGCAGAAGTAACAGAATCAATGGACTTTGCCATCTGTTCGTCACAGACCTTGGGGCAAGGACCTTTACAAGGGATGCACTGCATGCTGTTGAAGAAAAAAAACACTACAATCAAAAACACACATGATTGAGTCTGTCTTCCTGCATTACAAAAATCCTAAGGATATGCTTTTTAGTTGTTATCACAACATGCATTAGAGAAAGGAACCGTTTTGAAGTGTTCATGTGGTCACATGGTATCTCATCCTCAAGCCCACCCAAGATAAGCCACTCAAATTGCAACCAAAAGGAGAAAGAGTCTACGAAGGAAGAGCGTGTTGCTTGCTTCCAGACAAAATACATGATGCATCCTCAAGGCATTTGTGCATCATAGGCTGTTGACTGGTGAGCCAGCTGGTTCCATGTGGGAGAGAGAATGCTGCAGAAAGGAAGCTCTGGGGGTTCTGGAGGAAAACAGAGCTGCTTTCTGATATTGTGACGCTGGCCTGTGCACTTGGGGGAGTAGCTAGGAGAGATGATAGGGACAGCAAAGGGACTGTCGTGTGTTTGCCTAAGGGGAGTCTAGCTCCTGAAGTCAGTGGTTTGGCAAAGCCCAGTGCGGGATGCCAAAAGGCATGCGATACAGCACAGATCCATTATTTTCTTGCTAAAGCACAACTGAAATTATTTCTTGACAGTGTTTTGCAGAAACTTGTAAATTGATCCAAATGTTGTTTGCACTGCATACACAATAAAAGCAAGGGATTTCCATTACTTTGTAATGAGCTCTTGTTTCAAATGCTATCCTGAACATGCCACAAACCACCAAGAGTCAGCGACAAGTAAGGCTGGCACTTTCCCTGCTTACCTACCAGTATTTAGGAAATAGCAGACAAAATGCTAACCCAGCAGCTGAACCTCTGGCATCTATAGTTATATATAGAACAAGGGTCAGAAAGTTGGATCGATTTCCAAACAAGACAAATGACATGACCTTATGTGATGCGTATGTAATAGGATGGTAAGTGGTGGAGCCACTATATGTACATTACTGTTCTTAAATCATCTCTTAAATTTCATGAAGAGGAGTAAAAACATTCAAGAAAAACACTACGAGGTATAGCTTTTTTTATTAATTTCCCTTCCCTCTACCCGTGTATGTTATTTTGCATCTAAGACAAAGATGTAGGGTTCTCTTTTGTTTAAAAGCTAACAAGTAAACAAAACTTCTCTGATATTTTCCTATTGTGTGTTGTGGAGAGTGGGGGTCGTTGCTTCCAAAGGGCCCTCAGGGACTGGACCCACCCACAGATGGAGACAGCCCTCCCTTCTCTACCGTCACACTCAACATTCTCATCTCTAGGCTGGGTCGGGGCTTCCTTCAGCAATTTTTTACTTGGTCTTCTGTTGTTTCTAATTTGCCTACATACCCTACAAACCCCCACTCTCCCTTTAAAATACATTTTATTTTTAAATACCTACAGAGTCACAAAAAGCTGCAAAGATTTACAAAGTTACAGAAAGGTCCCACATAGCCTTCACCCAATTTCCTCCAATGGTTACTACAACTTAACCCAATGATAATGCAGTATCAAACCTGGTAATTAACACTGCGTGCGTGCATATGTATGTGTGTGTGTGTGTATGTTGCACTGTCACTGATCACTTGTGTAGATTTGTGTAATCACAACTACAATCAAGATATAGAACTATTCCATCACCACAAAGCTCTCCCTGACACTACCTGTTCATACTCACTGCCCCCCCACCAATCCAGTCCCCAGTGTCCCTAACACCTGGCAACCACTAATCTGCTCTCCATCTCTGTAATCTGTCATTTTCTTTCTTTCTTTTTTTTGAGACAGGGTCTCACTCCACCTCTTGGGTTCAAGTGATTTTCCTGCCTCAGCCTCTGGAGTAGTGGGAACTACAGGTTCCCGCCACCATGCCCGACTAATTTTTGTATTTTTTTTTTTTTGAGACAAAAGTCTCACTCTGTCACGCAGGCTGGAGTGCAGTGGCACCATCTTGGCTCACTGCATCCTCCACCCTCCAGGGTTCAAGTGATTCTCCTGCTTCAGCCTCCTGAGTAGCTGGGACTACAGGTACCCATCAGCACACCCTACTAATGTTTGTATTTTTAGTAGAGATGGGGTTTTGCCATGTTGGCTTCCCGACCTCGAGCAATCTGCCCACCTCAGCCTCCCAAAGTGCTGGGATTATAGGTGTGAGCCACCATGCCTGGCCAAACTTTGTATTTTTAGTAGAGATGGGGTTTCATCATGTTGGGCAGGCTGGTCTCAAACTGACCTCAGGTGATCCACTCATGTCAGCCTCCCAGAGTGTTGGGGTTACAGGCGTGAGCCACCACACCTGGCTATAATCTGTCATTTTGAGGGTGTTGCATAAATGGAATTATACAGTATGGAATCTTTTGAGGTTGGTTTGTTCACAGAGCATAATGTCCTTGAGATCCATCCAAGTAGCGTACTTCAATGGTTTGTTCCTTTTTATTGCTGAGTAATAGAATTCCACGGTGTGGATGTCCTACAGTTTGTTTAACCAATTACCTATCACAGGACATCTGAGTGATTTCCAGTTTGGTGTTATTACAAATAGAGCTGCTAGAGACAGTGGTGTACATGTTTTTGTGTGAACACAAATTTCATTTCTCTGAAATATCCAGGGTTACAACTGCTGGGTTGTAACATAAGTATATGTTTAGTTTCTCTCCGTCTTTCACTCAAACAGAAAAATTTGAAGCTGAGTAGGGTGGCTCACATTGTAATCCCAGCACTTTGAGAGGCTGAGGTGGGGGGATCACTTGAGCCCAGAAGTGTGAGGCTGCAGTGAGCTATGATCATGCCACTGCACTCTAGCCTGGGCAACACAGCCAGATCTTATCTCTAAAAAAGAAAATAAAAGAAAAAGCAAACTGAACCAATCGTCTTTGGTAGAAAGTCTAGGACTCATAAAGCACTTAAAGAATATTTTTCTAAGGACATGTGTTCTGATAACATGTTTACAGATTAAGCTTCCTCAAATCCATTCTAGTATAGAAAAGGTATAAACAAAATGAAAAAAATAAATATTTAAAAAGAACTGTTAAGCCTCAAAGGCTGAGAGAAGGGAATTTATTATGCTTTACAGTGTTTTACTTTTAAACAAAAAAAGGTAGATGTATAGTTTTGGACTGTTAGAATGAAGAGGGAAAATAATGGCTCAGTTCTCTGAGGGTGCGCCACAGCGGAAGAAACACTTGTCACATGGATGGCATTCCCACTCTGCCACGGCTCTGGTAGCTGCAGAATGACTGAAGGCCTCCAAATGTCATAAGAAAATGTATTCACAAAACAAAGATGATAACACACTGAGTTCATGGACAAGCTACCACTCCCCTAACCCCACCCCAAGGAGGAAAGTGACGTCTAAATAGTGGCTGAGCCTCAACTTGGTTGCAGGCACTGCCCCTGGGCCCGAGATGTGCCAGTAAAAGCCCTTTTACACTTGAAAGCTGCCAGCAAAATGTGAGGACAATGTTGTAGACTGATTTTGGACCCAATATGGATCCTCTACAGCTCACTGACGTCCTTGGCCCGTTTATCATTTCAAAGTATTCAGAGTAATTTTTTTCTTCTTGTTACTATTCTAATGGCTATACAAATTATAAGAGGCAGAAAGCTGCTCTACATCTAATACTATAAAAGAATGTCTTATCTTTGATTTGAAGGTAAGCCTACAGTAGCAGCTGCATCTCCAACTGATACACTAGAAAAAGAATCCCCTTTATAAACACGTGCTCAGTGTAGTTATAAAGTGCAGCAAAAATTGTATTTAAAATTAACATTTACTTCTCTGATAATATTTTTGTATTTGTAGCATAGATTTTGGAAGACTCAGAAAGACAGGCCCCTGGTGCTAATTATGAAGGAGGCATTTAGTCCACCACAAGAGAGCTCACTTTTTTTTTTTTTTTTTTTTGCAACAGGGTTTCTTTTCCATTTCTGCACCACTGGTCGGCAGTTTTGGCTCAATTCGGCCTCGACTTCAAGGGCTCAGGTGATCCTCCCACTTCCAACTCCTGAGTAGCTGAGACTATAGGTCACACCCAGCTATTTTTTTTAATCTTTTGTGCAGATGGGGTTTGCATGTTCCCCAGGCTGGTCTTGAACCTATGGGCTCAAAGGATCTTCCCACCTCAGCCTCCCACAGTGCTGGGATTATAGGCATGAGCTCCTAAAAGTTCTTTACTCTGCTCCAGGAGAGGGAACAGCAACCCCAAATCTCCAAGCTTCTTTTATTTTCAGAGTTACAGTCCCTACATTTTTAAACAATGCTGACATCTTATTTTCAAAAGCATAAACCAATGACAAATTTGTAGAAGTCCAGTTGGCATGTACAAATGGGATGCCATTTGTTTAAGAAATTTTTTTCGTTTTTTGAGATGGAGTCTTGCTCTGTGACCCAGGTTGAAGTGAAATGGTGCGATCTTGGCTCCTGCAACTTCCGCCTCTGGGGTTAAAGCAATTCTCCTGCTTCAGCCTCCCGAGTAGTTGGGATTGTAGGTGCCCACCACCTCGCTCAGCTAAATTTTATATTTTTAGTAGAGATGGGGTTTCACCATGTTGGCCAGGGTGGTCTCAAACTCTGACCTCAGGTGATCCACCCACCTCAGCCTCCCAAAGTGCTGGGATTACAGGTGTGAAATACCATGCCCGGCCATAAGGAGCTTCTTTGCTTCCCAAGTGAAGTCTCAAACTTTGGGAAGGAAAATGAAGGACATGATGAGTGATGAGGGAGGGTCGCGGTAGAGGGGGTGAGAGGAAGGAAGTGCTGATGGAAAATGCCGCTTATTTTAAGCTGCTGCTTCCTCTGAGCTGCTGCTAGCTCTTGCACTAAAATGTTTTAGGTCTGCTTACTGGTCTCAAGGATGGCGGTGGGCACTTGGCCTGTCTTTTCTCTTGCATTTCTGAAGTCTCACCCAGCTAGCAGCACCCAGACTAGGAAAATCTAAAACTCCAGTCCCCTGGTCTCTTAGATAGCAGCTTGACAAGTACCCAGAGAGACCATGAACTCCGGGTATGGAAACCAGCAAGCAAATACTTAATTTCAAATGACCAGGCAGTATGCACTTAAAACAGAATATAAAACAAACTGGTGCGGGGGGTGGTAAGCCATGCCAACTGTTCCCAGAATCTCACCAAACATTTAAGGTAAGCCAGCCCTCTCAAATTGACCCAGGGTGATGCCTGCACCCAGATGAAACAACCGACAGAGTCTACCTTTTTTTTTTTTTTTTTTTTTTTTTTTTTTTCAATTTTTGAGACAAGAGTCTCACTCTGTTGCCCAGGCTGGCGTGCAGTGGCGAGATCTCCGCACACTGCAACCTCCACCTTCTGGGTTCAAGCAATTCTTCTGCCTCAGCCTCCAGAGTAGCTGGGATTACAGGTGTGCACAGCCACGCCTGGCTAATTTTCTGTATTTTTAGTAGAGGCAGGGTTTCACCATGCTGGCCAGGCTGGTCTCGAACTCCTGACCTTGTGATCCGCCATCCTTGGCCTCCCAAAGTGCTGGGGTTACAGACGTGCATCTCCCTTTCTGTGCTAGGGTGGCGGGCAGGGAGAGGGAGGACAGGTAGTGACCCTGTGGCGCCACTGACCTATGGGTGGTGTCGCGGATGAAGCCCGAGGGGCAATCCTGCATGCACTCGCCGTCGTGGATCACAAACTTGTTGTTCTCCGAGTTCTCGGAGCTGACGATGCTGGCACAGAACTGACGGTCCACACAGCGCCAGCCCTCAAACCTGTAGGTGTTGGGCGGGCAGGCGGGCACGCAGATACCGGCGTGGTAGTAGTGGAGGCAAGCCACACAGGCTGTGTCGTTGTCAGGCGCGCTGCAGCTGCCCAGGCACTCGGGGTGACAGCACTCATTGTTGTCGGTGCACGCCCGCTTCCCACATGCACTCGGACACACTGTGGAGACAGAGGGGAGACGGAGGTGAGAGCAGGCAGGGGCGGCACCATCCTTCTCTGGGCCCGACCAGCATCCTTCTGGGTCATTCACTGCTACTGCCAGCACTCTACGAAATCCTCTCTCCCACCGCTGCCCTGCCAATCCCACAGAGACCTGCAGAGCATAGACATATTCAAAGTCCAGTCTCTCCTAGGAACTCTGTGTTTGGCCCGGGATAAACCAGTAGCTTCTGCGATCTTGATCCTCTCTCTTCTCATTTGTAAAATGGGGGAGATGATACCCACATCTGAAGGATGGCCCAGGCATGGGTGACCAGTGGAAGGAAGCCCTACAGGAACTCTATGGTTTATCAGTAATTTAAAAGGCATTGTGCTCTGCTCACTTGGCATTTCAAATAGCTTCCTTACTGAACACTCTTTGAAAGCCTCAGAGTGCAGAAATGCTTACTTTGAAAATGATTAAACTACACTAAAGATGGTAGCATTCAAAATGACTTTAGGAAAATTTCTGTCAGCTTAGATGATATCAAAGGTTTTACTCCAAGTAAGCCATGATATCCTAACCTGTTAGATGACAAAGAAGTCACCATGTCTGAAGGGCATTCTCAAGTCCAAGAACATGGGTGTGTTACAGGAAAGGGGTCCTGATCCAGACCCCAAGAGAGGGTTCTTGGATCTCACGTAAGAATAATTCAGCGTGAGTCCGTAAAGTGAAAGCAAGTTTATTAGGAAAGTAAAGGAAAAAAGAATGGCTACTCCATAGAGAGAGAAGCCCAAGGGCTGCTGGCTGCCCGTTTCCATGGTTATTTCTTGATGATATGCTAAATAAGGGGTGGATTATTCATGCCTCACCTTTTAAGGCCACAAAGGATAACTGCCAGACATTGCTATGGCATCTGTAAACTGTCATGGTGCTGGGAAGAATGCAGCAGTGAGGACGACCGAAGGTCAGTCTCGTCACCATCTTGGTTTTGGTGGGTTTGAGCTGACTTCTTTGCTGCAACTGTTTGATCAGCAAGGGCTTTACGACTTGTATTTTGTGCTGAGCTTTAATCTCATCTTGTGACTTACAGTGCCTTCACCGTCTGGAGATTCAGCCTCATTTTACCTAGCTCCTATTCAAGATGGAGTTGCTCGGGTTTCAGTGCCTCTGACAGGTGGGTGAGCAGTACCTCTGAGCCTGTGGCACGGCAGGATATTAGAAGCCATCTCCGCTAAGCCTGTCCGTGTGCTAAAGTTACATCAGTGTCTAATAGGCACAGATCCACAGTGCACATCCCAAGTGGATGAGCTGGCCTCAATCTCCATTAACAGTGCTGCCATGACCACACTCTGTGGGCTGTTAGTCTTACTTGTAAATTAAATATAAATCAACAAATATGAAATCTGGTTTGCATTATACATTTCCTACTTTATCCCTGGATTGGAAAACAATACAAAATTATTTAAATGTGTATGTTTTTGACTCTGACATGCAATACTGATGATTCTAGAATTTGTTTTTTTCTTGTAACAAAAATACATGATAAAAAAATCAGAGATCACAAAAAAGAGAATATAAAGAACATGTTAAGTCCACCTACCCACAAGGGACCCCTTTATTAATATATTCACGCGGACCCCCCAGTCCTTTCCTATGTATGTGCATGGACATATAAATACAAGTATCTATAAAAAGGATAAGCCATTCTGAAAGCTTTTTTTTTTTTTTTGGCATAAAAGATTGTGAGTTCCACAAACATTTAACAGCAGTATTACATCCCATTGTAAAATATATCATAAGTTACACCTGTCCCCACCTAAAACGTATTTTCTTTACCCCAACTTTTTATTATTGCAATCAGCAAAGCAATCTTCGTGAGTACCCTTAGTGTCTCTTAGGATCAATCTCCAGAATTAATCTTATTGAGATAAACTGCCCTCTGGAAAGTTTGTACCAGTTTACATACCCACTAGTTGCCTCCAAGGGTTCCTATTTCACTGCAAATAGGTGAACTTGAAAACAGATGTCAGAACTTGGACATGCCAATGAATAGTGTCACCTCTGAAGAAAACTGTCATGATACTGTCAAGCTTAAAATAATTTTGCAACGTTGTCTTTTGAAGTCTTTGACAGAAACAACAGGTTGCCTTCCATTATTTATTCTTCTTGTCCTTTTCAGTAATTTTTAGTTGGGAATATCACCATCCAGCTACAGACTACATCTCCCTGCCTTCCTTGTAGCTAGTAGTCTTATGACGTCAATTCTGGCCAGTGAAGTATAAACAAACTTTGTGACTAGAACTTCCTGGAAGACTCCTGAGAACCCAGAGGGCATGGCCATCTCCTCCTTGTTGGCTGGAAGGCACTAGTTAGTGTTTAGAGCTCAAGTACCAACCTTGGACCATGACGTGAAACATCAAGAATGGTGAAGCAAGGTAAAAGGAGCTTAGTCTCTTGCAAGAGTGGGGCCGCTAGGCTAACCCTGGACTGCTTACTCCAGACTTCTTCAGATGTGAGAGAAATACACTTTCATCTTGTTTCAATTACTGCTATTCATATATGCAACTGAACTAATCCCTGAGATATATCTTCAGAGCTATCCATAAAGTAAAGAAGAAAACCCTTCCTGTCAGTTTATGCCATTTTGTTGATAAGGATTGGCTCTAAATGACTCCAGGCTATTTCCAAAAACTATTCCAACCCACAAGTAATAAGGAGTTACCCATCTCTGATCACACCAAAAAAAGTATGCATTTTATGAGTTCCTAAAATGTCGGGATATAAATGCTGTCTACCAAGGTGACTTTCTTGAAGAGGATAAAATTTGAATTTACAAACCTAGCATATCTGCTGTACACACACACACACACACACACACACACACACACACACACACACACACACACATCATCAAACCCTCACTTGAAGAAAGCAATAATTTCAAATCTATTCACTACAGAGGTCACTTCAAGGTCCAAGATCTGAAGCAACACTGAAATTGGGCATCCCAATTTCATGTTTTTAAACTGGTAACAACAGAATATAATTCCATCTATTCTTCCTTTATCCATTGAGCAACTATTTAAGGTGTGTTGCACCTGTGTGCCAGACAGATGCACGCCGGATCAGTAACAATCCTGTCCCCAAGGAACGGACGACACAGCAAGTAACTCCAGGAGGGAGTGGAGCAGCCTGGTGTTTCCCGGGCCTCTGGGTGCCGAGAAGGTTTTGTGGAGCCGGAAGTGGAAAGATGAGCAAGGGAGGAATAAAAACACCACAGGTGGAATCACATGTCAATTCGTGTAAAAGCAATGGCGTCACTATGGGTGCGGGGGCTGGGTATTAATGAAGGCGGCCAGGGACCATTGCTCATGGAGCACCGAAGGCCTATCCGAGAGGGTTTAACCAACTGTGGATCACAGGGAACCAGGAAAGGTTTTAAGCAAGGGAGCAACATGGCCAGATTTTCGTATCAGAAAGGTTACCTACCAGCAGTGTGGGGGGCATGATGATCAGAGAGGGCAAGGCTGAAAGGAGAGAGGGACCAGGCTGGAAGACAGCAAACTCACAGCCTATTTTCCCCACAAAATTCACGCTGTGTAATAGATCTGCAAGGTTCAATAAAGCTGGCTACAGAAGCAATGCTCACATTCCTGCTCATCAGGCATGTGCCAGCAGTACTGAGCATACATCCATTTCAGAGCACTGGAGTCCGCAAAGGCTGCTCTGCAAACATCACCATCACCATGCTTTGTCATTAGAGGAAGGCAACACTGATTGAGAATCTTACCATCATTGTCAGAGACTAACTGGGGGGACCAACATCTACTTGCAGAATCACTTTTCCTGACAATGTAAAGAAAATATTATATAAAGTGATGTGTAATAGACATTAAGATCAAGTAGCTATTAATGCAGTAGTAACAACTCAAGAATGTTGAAAATAACAAGCCAGGCCTGGTGGCTCAAGTCTGTAATCCCAGCACTTTGGGAGGCCGAGGTGGGCGGATCAAGAGGTCAAGAGATGGAGACCACCCTGGCCAACACAGTGAAACTGCTTCTCTATTAAAAGACAAAAATTAGCTGGGTGTGGTGGTGCGTGCTTGTAGTCCCAGCTACTCGGGAGACTGATGTAGGTGAATTGCTTGAAGCCGGGAGGTGGAGATTGCAGTGAGCCAAGATCTCGCCACTGCACTTCAGCCTAGCACCTGGCGGAAGAGTGACTCTGTCTCAAAAAAAAAAAAAAAAGGTGCTACTGCAGAGATGGACACCGTGCTCTCCTCACTGAAGCAGAACCTGAGAGGATTCTAGGAGGCAAACGGGAGAGAACACGAGCAAGTATGGGATCAGAGAGTCCTGGAGCCAGCGCCAGAAGCCTGCTGTAAATTTTGTCTCATCTCAATGCATATAAATATTATTAGTGTTCAGGACCATTAAGGGATCTCTTGAAAAGCCCCGGGCAGTGTCTCGCCGGCAGATGGATGGCTGTTCCACGTGAGCGCCAAGACTGGGAATTTCATCTAGTACCAAATTTCCAGTACAGCGCTGTGGGCGAAAGGAAAGGGCCGTCTTCTCTGGCTGCATGAATAAACACACTCAGGGCAATTAAAGGCATTTCAACTTTTAAAAATAGGAGGAAAATAGAAGCTGCCATAAACTAGCAAATATACAGAGGAAAGAGCAAATTGATTTTGCCAGTGAGATCTTTCTATTCCTTGGAATTTTTACAATGACCAGCAATAAAAACAAAGACCCATCTAAATTGTTGGAAAAGCTAACAACATGTCCCTCATCCACCACTGAAAAGATTGGTTCAGGGTCGCAATCACATAAAAATCAGGCACTGATTTTAAAAGCTCCTTAAAAGCATTTAAAAGCTCCTTCTCTTCATTTTTTTCTTCCTTGGGGGTAGAGAATAAGAGTCACACATACCAGCCTTTAACACTCTCCTCCAGAGTCCTTGTATGTATTATTTCTAGAGTTTTTTGAAAAACCATTTGTTTTTGTTCTTGCCAGA